CCTCCGAGCTATGTCTATTCATCCCTCCCTCCCCTAAACCCTGGCAGCCACTGATCTTTACTGTCTCCATCATTTGCCCTTTTCAGAAAATCCCTTGGTTGGAATCGTACTATGTGTAGCCTTTTCAGATTGTCCTCTTTCACTTAGCAATGTGCACTGACGTTCCCTCCACACGTCTTTCCATGGCCCATTAGCTCATTTCTTTTGAGCGCTGACTACAATTCCATTGTCCCGATGGATCACAGGCTGCCCATTCAGCTGCCCAGGACATCTGGGTTCCTTGTGAGTTTTGGCAATTCTGAATATAGCTACTCTGCCATCTGTGTGCAGGTTCTGGTGTGAACATAAGGCTTCAACTCCTTTGGGGGAGTATTGGTCATATTACCATGGCTGTCACGGAAACATCATAATTCAGAAATGCTGTCCACAGGACTCCCTCATTCATTCTTGGACCTTTGACCTCTGGGACAATCTGTAACTCAAGTATTTGTCTGTGATTTGACAGGCATGCTGGTCCTCCTTTCAGAGCATGGATGATACAGGCTCCAGGCCACATGTAAGTGTGGGTCTCAGAGAAATGGGACTGTGATCTTGAGGTGACCTCAGGCTTGAGACCCCATGCTGAGGCTCAGACGCTTCAGACTCATCCTTGGCAATGAGGGGCAGGAGAGGGACTGGGGAGCTGGGCTCAGGCCCGGGGACATGAGTCGTGCCTCTCTGTTTTCTAATCCACAGCCCCCACCTCCTGCTCTGGTCTCTGACCTGTCCCAATTAGCACTTGGGCTCCTTCTCCATCTCAGGTGCCCAGAGCAGGCCTGGCCCCACCAGCGTGGCCTGTCTGGGCGTCACGTGGGCCCTGCTCTCACCAGAGCCTGTACAAGCTCAGAGGGGGTCTCCCACCCAGTAGCTGCAATGCCAAGCCTTCTGAGGTGCAGGTGTCTCTCCTAGGATGTGATGCTGCTGGAGGAATCAGTACAGTGGATCCCACTGCAGGGGTTTCCAAGCTCCAGCAGTCCCTTTCCTGGGGAATGTGGACATGGTGGGGTGGGAACCACTTAATATCTGGTGATGGGCATAGTTCTGAAACGTAGCCTCATCTTCGTGCTGTCAGACCATCTACCCTGGACGCATCCGGGTCAGCACGGCGTCACTGAGCCCGAGTCAGGGAAGGAGCGTGCTGCCATTCTCCGTATATACAATTTCCACCAGATAGAATCATAGAGAGCGCTCAGGGAAAGATAATAAAAGAATGGAGGCGAATGATTATGAAATGATGAGTTTGAGTGTTTATTATCCCTGCCGTGGGTGTGATTTCCTGAATTGTACTAATATGGGAAGTTCCTACCATTTAATTTTTCCTAATGGCTGTGATTAACTGCAGAATGCAAGCTGCCCGCAGGCGCTGCACCCCACTACAGCCGGCTGCCCTGAGCTCCTTCCTGCCCACAGTTTGCAGGCAGCTAGGCCACCTCCCGCTGCACGCACACCAGCACCCTATGTCCCAGCCAAACACAGTGATGAAGAGGAAGCTCAGGTCCAACCCCTGGTCCCCCGGAGCAAGTGTGAGCTGAGACTGCCCGTGTGTGGCACACGGAACTGCCCCGATCAAACCCACCTGGAATTGAGCCCCCACCTTGGGCAGAGCCCTGTGCTCGTCATCCTGTGGGTGCCTGATTCAGGGACAGGGCTGGGGTGCAGAATCCAGGGGGCTGCTGGACGGCCTCCTTAGTCTGCCATGGAATCAGGGTGAAAGGAAACATACCCAACCCCTCTGCTCTTGACATCAGGATAGGATTTGGTTTCCTTACAGTTACAGTGAAGAGGCAGAGGCAGCCCTTTCCTGGGGTTGGGCAAAAATCTATGGAAGAGCTTTATCATGGACAACCACTGGCACCCAAAGGGAACAAAGAAACAAGGTCCCTAGAAGCAAAAGGCCCCAAGGCATAGCCGTGTCGCCCTCTCGTGTTCACTGGAGGAATGTCAGGAGTGTGAGCTGGAGAGGCTGCTCCTCTGGGAGGGGCAGGGAGGCAGGCTGTGTCCCCAGAAGGGGAAGGGGACCTTGCCTTGCTGTTCTGCTGGCCCCGGGGGCAGAGTTCTGGGGTGTCGGTCATTCTGAAGTGGGTGGAGCTGAGACTCTGAGCAAGTCCTGAAGGTGTATGGAGCTTGGAGGAGCTGCACCCCCAGGCACAGGGAGGTCTCCCCAGAACCAGCTGGGCTGTAGATGTGTGTGGATATCACTACCACCTGAGAACCTCTCATTTCACACCTGTTTTTCTTAAAAATCCAGGGGTCCCACTCTCCACACAGTCGGGAATGGGAGTGTCTGATACAGGAAGAGTTGTGTCCTGAGAGGCCAGTGTCCTCGGCTGCTGGTGCCTGGGGCTGTGTACACAGGAGAGTGGATAACCCAGCACTGAGTGTCCCAGGACTGGACTCTGCAGCCTCTCTGGCCTTCCCTGGCCCAGTCTTGCCTGGATTCTGTTCTATCTCACCTCTCTGAGCTTTGGTGTCCATCCCTGCCAGGAGGCGGTGATAATAACTGACCAGCACAGCTGTCAGGGGGATTGCATTTCAGAGTGTGCTTAAGACCACCCTGGCAAGAGATGCTGAATTTGCTAAATTGGCATCTCTCCTCACCATGCTTTTATTGATTACAGAGTCTGGGGCAATGGTGTTGGTCAAAATAAGGCAATTCTGGGCGGTGCCATTTTAAGAGGGTCTCTTCAGAATAAATTTGAACAGGTTTCCAAAAGGAAAGTGCAGGGAACCCTGGGTGGCGCAGCGGTTTGGTGCCTGCCTTTGGCCCAGGGTGCGATCCTGGAGACCCGGGATCGAGTCCCACGTCGGGCTCCCGGTTCATGGAGCCTGCTTCTCCCTCTGCCTGTGTCTCTGCCTCTCTCTCTCTGTGTGTGTGACTATCTTAAAAAAAAAAAAAAAAGGAAAGTGCATGGGCACTCAGGGCTAGCCTGCTTGGTCCTGGCTATGGAGTCCTACTATGTGCACAGGTTTGACCTTTACCTCTTCTGCTCTTTTTCAGGAGAAAGGCCCCAAACGGCCTCTTCAGTGGGACTTATGGACTCCTACACCAGTGGTTCTCAATTTTGGCTGCCTAGGAACCTCCCAGAGATTTTAAATCACCAACGTCAGGCCCAGCTGCAGGGATTATGCTATAACTGGTCTGGGTTCAGGTAGGCATAGCAGCTTGAAAGCCCTGGAATTATCCTCATGTACTGCCAGGAGGTTACTGAAAATCACAGCAGCCCATGTCATTTCCCCCCTCCCTGGTGTGGTGCAGATAGTAGGTCCCTACTGCCATGGTGTACTACTTGTCTGGCTCTGCCCTGTCCTACAGTCTCTGTGCAGAGTCCTGGGCTTGGCTCAACATCTTGGTCACCAACAGCCATACTCCTGCTCTTCTGTCCCTTACTCCCAGACTTGTCCACATTAACCATCCACTGTCTGGTATCTGTAAGCTATTACCTGTACCCATCTGTACAGCTGCCATACAATTTGGCTCTGCTTACCTGCTATATGCTCCTCCCTGGAGATGCAGGGTTTCCACCTGTTCATCTGACATTTTGTCTCAACCTTGAGTCTGCATTTCCAGGAAAACCAGCCCTGCCTGTCTGCACCCCTACCTCACCATGCAGCTGTGATAAGGTAAACAGAGTGCTACTGGGTGCCAGGCTCTGGGCTCTCATTTCTTTCTTTCTCATATGGGTTCTAAATAAAGTGGGGTCAATGTCTGAGCACCATGTGCATTTTCCTGGCTTCACATCTTAGGGCTCAGAGGCCAGCTACTGGCCATGAGGATGCTCTTCCCCAGGGTGAAAGCAGGTCCCTTGGGGGCTGGCCTGCTTCCCCACATCAACCACTGGCAGGTCTGGGAAGGAAAGGAGGGTGGAAATCAGGATGAGCCCAGTGGAGAAGGGGCGGGATAAGCAAGGAAGGTGGTCTCAAGGCAGGGTGATGGCAAGTGGAACTGTTTGTGTGGTGGGAGAGGGAAACCGAATAGAAGCGAGAGGTACCAGATAGAAAATTGAGTCCAGATCCCAAAGGGTGGTCAGAAAGATTTCAGTGTTTTGTCAGCCAGTGGCAACCAAGAAAGGTTTTAGACAGGAAGTTAGCAGGATTTTGAGAGTCCAAGCGTGGTCAGAGGCTCTAGAAGGATGGGAAGGGGAAGGTGGGACATTTAGTCCAGCTAGGAAATGGGTACAAGTTTCCCAGGCAAGAGGTCCTCTGGCCTTGAACTACTGCAGTGTCCATGGGAAGAGAAGGTAGAGGAGAGTGAGGTGGGCAGTGTCCCTGTGGGCCCCCTTCATCCATCATCATATCCTGTATCTTCTCCACAGCTCCCCCCACTGGAGGTACCAGGCATTCAACTTATTTCTGAATTGCATCCCCTTCCAAAGGAATGTAAGCTCCATGGGGGCAGGGATTTTGATCTCTTTTGGTTTATTTGTCTCCTGGAACATAATAGTCCTTCAAGGAGTACCTGTGTGAGGTAAGAGCCTAGAATCAGCTGGACGTGCTTACTGTCTGAATACGTGACACAAGGAGACAGAGATGCTAAATATGCCCCATGGGGTGGAACCAATAATCAAGAGGAGGGCTGTGACAACTACTGCCATGCCACACCTATGCCTGTCACCGATGCTACACATCTGCTGACCCGTCCTCAGTCTGGACCAAAAATCCTGGGAATCAGTCTGATGACATTTCGTCTCCACGCCCACAACAAAACAGCAGAGCGCATAATCGATCCCTGTTCTAGATGAAGAGTTGGAATGGTTGACCACCAAAATGTCAGCTGGAATGAGCCAGTCTTGCCTGCATCCCCACAGCCCTACCTGGGGACCCAGGCGCCTCTTGTTACCACTGTCATGAGCAATACAATTATCGCTAATGTCCATGTTGTTGCTACTGGTGACAATTACAACAGTAACAAGAGCCACCATACATCACACGCAAGCAAGCACTTGAGCCAGGCAGACGTCAAGGCAGGTTAACATCATTTTATTGCACCCCCTCAAGTCCTAACCGGTAAATATTAACATTTTTGTTTCACAGACGAGGAGTGTGATGTTCAGGGAGTTCAGAACCCAGAAGATAAAGGTGGCAAATGTGTCTGTGTCGCAGGCCAGGAGTCTCTTGACCAAGCACGACACATGGTCTCTCACAGACCAGGAGCACATGGAAGAAGAGGAGAGGCAGGTGTAGCAAACTCCGAATCACCTGGAGGAGCAGCAGGCCTGGCAGGCGCAAGGACACAAAGAAACATCCCGGGTCCCCATGGTGTGCGGCCCTAGGGGTGGGAGGGCGGCCCCCTCGCCTGGCTTCTCTTTTAGATGTTCCTGGCCCGCAGCTGGATGGGTCCCACGATGACATCCACCTTCTCCTGGTAGGAGCCCACGTCCCTCTTGGACCTCATGATGCAGCCTCTGCGGCAGCGGGAGAAGGAGTCGTTGGCTCTGCACACCACCATTTTACACTGCAGGTACACCGAGGGGAAGCGCTTCAGGAAGTAGAAGGAACTGAATTTGAAGCGGGCGATGCGAGGCGACGGCTGAGAGTATGATTGGTAGGTTTGGTCCTTCACACACCTGGAAGAAGAGAAAAGGCAGCCCGTCAGCTGTGGATGCATGATCTTCTTCGTGATGCATGTGGGTCAACCGTGGAACCCCAAGGCTTCCTCTGGGCCAGGAACCCCACGCCCCCTGCTGCACCTTCCTTCCCACAGAACGTGGGGTTCGGACATTGGCTGTCAGCCTCCAGGAAGATCCCAGCAGCTCTGCTAAGTCAGCAGCATCTTAGAGCAGCAGATCAGCCCAGGGCTTCCACATAGACAAGCAGGCTCCATAGGGTGTGGTGAGCGCTCAGGGACCGTGGACTGGATGGCCCTGGTGACCCAGGTGAGTCAGGGAAGGAGCAGGACCCAGGGAGAGGGCCGCAAAGATTAGAGTTCCTTTCCTTTCCCAGTCTCAGGGCCAGGCAAGGTGACACTCCACTACTGTCTGGTGTCTTTGGTGGCCACCACCCCCACCCCCAGTTCAGCCCTGCCCTGCCCTGCCCAAGTCTCTGGGGCCATGTCTCTTGACTCACCTCAACTGGCCCTAAGCCCTGGGTGGCTGTACTTGCCACATGAGCTGGAGTACTCTCCAGTACTCCCTAATCCAATATCAACCATCTCCTTATTCCCTCAGATGCCTCATCTCCACTGGTGTTAGCAGGAAAATTACTTAAGAATCCCCTGAAAGAAACTTCATACTCTGATATGGATGAGGAGCATCTCCCAGCTCTACCCTCAGTCCAGGAAGCAGCTTGGATCATCCACGAGTATCTCTCACAGTAGGATTGGGGGAGGGGGGAGTAGCAAAGAGGAGAGCAAAGAAACTGGTCCATGAGGTATAGGGTGGAAATTTTTTGCAGGTGGATGGGAGCTGTCACTAAGGCAGCCTGATTCTGCCTGGAAATGTGGCCCAGGGTTCACTCGATATCTTCTTTCTGCCTTCCAGAGCTTCCTTCCTCTGTTTTCAATGCACTTTCTCTCAAATACCACGTTCTTTTTCCCACAGGAGTCACTTTAGCAGCAAAGGTGAGAGAGAAAGTACCCAGAACTTTGTCAGGAAGTAGGACAGTTGTAAATGAGGTCACGGTAGCCCTGGGGCTACTAGGAAATAATTGCATTTCCCATAAGACCACACCAGTCAGGGTGGTCTGTGTAGGCCAGAGCTCCAAAACCCAGGCTGCACTTCAGAATCCCTGGGGGAGATTTTTAAAATACAGATACTCAAGCCCCACGACAGATTAAGTAAAGAGAATGTGCAGGTGGGGCCTGGGCACGGCTGTGCTTGAAGCTCCAGATTCCTCTAATGGGCATCCAGGTGGGTGATCTTGTTGGTGCTCAGGTATAGCCAATGAGTCTCTGTACTCCAAAGACAGCTGGATTCACATCTACCCCCACATGCACATCCTCCTCTCCCAAGGAAATTGCATTATCTTACATACATATATGTCAGAATTTGGCTGAAAAGAATCATTTAGCAAAGAAGAACCAAATCGCTCATTTGTGTTAATCTCAATCACCTGACATAAATTCAAATGTCACTTTGTTACTATTTGCAGAAAGAGAATATGGGTAATCTTCTCCCCACTTTTGCTGCCAAGGGGGCTGCTGTGAATTGAACCAGTGGCATAGACTAAACAAGACAAGCCTCAACACCTATCTCAACACCTATTCAAACTGTCCCTGGAAAAAGGTACTGTTTTTAGTAGCTCAGGGAGGTGTAAAATTTAACCTCCTGACCCTGATTCCTTAGAGAGCCCCTTAGCCTATCAGTACAAGCTCTATATTGTACTTCTATGTGATTGTTACTGAGGTGTCAAGGTCAAATTATAATCCAAGAAATGGTACACACACCAATGGACAAAGATGAAAGGATAGGGATGGGAGTTGTACATCCCAATGTCCCAGAACCCCTTGATGAGCTCAGAAGAGGCAAATTCCATCTCACCAGAGTCCTGTCACCCAGGGAAGGAGGACTGGAGTAGAGGAGCCCAATTTGGGCACCACTGACCCCAGCCTGGGCACCACTGACATGGTCTCTGCATCTCTTGAGCTTGGTTAGAACCACCATTCTCAGCTGCTAGGTCAAGAGATCCTGGTTACCCACAACGTTCCTTGTGGATGACCTGCCATGCATGCTCTTTGCCCAGGGCCCCATCTACTCCTTCCCATTTCATCCTCCCAACCGCCTATGATGTGGGCATCACTATTCTCATCTTATGGGTGAAGAGACTGGCTCAGGGAGATATGATTGCCTGCCCAGAGTGATGCAGCTGGTACATGACAGAGCTGGGATCTCAATCTTGATCTGCTGCAAAATCAAGGCACACATGTCTTCTTATGGAGTTTGGTCCCCTGGGTCTAATCCCAGTTACAGCTAACCTGCTTGGTGACCCCTGGTGACTCATTCACTTCTCCACACATCCATTTCCCTATATGTTTAACCAGGTATGACAACCTGACTGGTTAAGTTGATCTATCAGAACCCAAATCCTTGAGACTTTGAGCTACTCATGTTTGAATTGTCAGGTGAAAGTTGACATTTGCCCCGTGAAGACACTCCTTACCCACTCCGGATTAGATCGTAGGTCAAAGATGTAAAGTCATTGGAATATGGGGATGCCACGCAGGTATCCACAAACAAGGCTAAGGAGGCATCAGAATGGATGATCTTAGCCTGAAGGTACAAGTTCTGGTTTAGGTCCACATAGTATGGTGTGCTGGTCACCGGATATAAAAATGAAGAGGATGTATAAAAGGAAATGTTCACGTCAAAATTGCCATACTGCACTTCCTTGACCTCGATGTTGTCATTAGTAATGTACATGGTGTCAACCCAGGTGTTCTGGAGCATTTTGCAGCTGATGTGAATGTGGAGGTCCTTCTTCCTCTTGATGATGGCACTTGGAACAGCTACTTTGAGGAAGTTGGAATAGGTGATGGTATCATTATCTACCTGGGAGAGGAAGACAGGAGAGCAAAGTCAAGTAAATGTCACCTGCTAAGGGGAGCTCACTGCTGATTTAGGTTACCATGAGAGGGAAGTGACTCAACCAGACTTCAAACCCCTTACAGGAACACACAGAGAAGGCACATACCTATTGCCATGGCTCCAATTATCTGGGCTGGGCATGCTGCTTAACTAGTAGGACTCCCTTCTTTCACAGAACCACTTCCTCTACTATGTGATGGGGACTGCAGGTGGGGCAGGTGTTGGGGTCTCCTGGGAGCAGCTCCCCATGAGAAGATGGGTAAGTCTGATGACCCCTTGCCCTACTGAATCGCCAAGCTGAGTCCAGACTCCATGGCTCAGGGCTTTTCATGCTTGCTTTGTTTCATTCCCACTGTGGCTGGGAAAAACCAAGGGAGGAGGCCATGTATTGAGGGAGGGGATGGTAGGATTAGTTCTCACTGTGCTGTTTGGATAGTTTGGTAGCTATTGCAGCTTGGTGTCTAAGGCTTACAGGAGTGGAAGAGACACAGGGTGGAGTTCTAGCTGAAATGGGTCTCTGATCTCTGGGGTAGGGGCTCCCCCAGAATCTCATGGGGACAATTGAGCAAAACGAGAACACATCCTTCCACACTCTGCTTTGTCACTCCCCATACCATGGGATGGATTCCTACTGTGCCTTTTAGCAAGCAGAAAATTCATAAGAATGTTGGTCTCTCACACCATTTGATGTGCCTAATGGTGACTTTCTGGGAATGAGAGTCTTGTATCCAGTGGTCTGTGAGCATCTCAAGGAAAAAAATGATGTGATCGGGGCTTGGTACAGTGTCTATGATACTGTCAGGAACATCAATAAATACCATGAATGATGAAAGGTATAGGGTGCAGGGCCCAGCAAAAGTACCACGATGGAGGAAGAATGGGGCCCAGATGGCTGAGAGGATACAGGTGAATGAGGCCTCTGGAAGTTCCATGGTCATGATCATTTGGCCCCAAGTTAGATAAGCACAAGCCAGTCATTGCCAGGCAGAAACAGGGAGGAACACTTTCCCTCCCAATGTGGTGATGGTCAGAAGCAAACTTCTTTCTGCTAGCCAGGTATGAGTTCCCATAAGTAATGGATACTTTGGCAAAAACAAGCACAAAAAAGAACACCATGGTGGCCAAAAAAGAAGTCCTAAAATGTGAGGCCAAATTACTCTTAAGAAAAAAAAAAAAAGAGGTTTTTCAAGTAGTCACATTTAGTCATACACCCTGTCAAGAACAAAACTCCATTCCTGGTCATTTGGGAGATTGGACAAGTTCTCTGCTCAAGCCAGCACTTGAACATCTTAAATATCATTGTTCTTCAGAACGGTGTGTGTTGGGAAGGCTTTCCCTTCATGCCTGCAGTTGCATAACTCAACTCTGAATTTGTCTCTTCCAGAAAAATGTGTGAAGAGAGAAGAGTTTAACAAATAATTTAAACTGGTTTTGCCATCCCCTTTTCTTCGTTGGGCAGCCAGGGAGGTGTCTGCAGCCCAGGCCTGTAGGGGAGTGTCAGAGTCCATACTCTGGACTCAGGTCCGGGGAAGGCATCTCTCTGGTGGGGTGGAGAGACTGCATGTCTCCTATGCCCTCCATCCATGCAAGGAAAATTCACTGTATTTTCTAAAATGTAAAGAAAAAAAAAGAGTGGGCTTTATATGTGAGTGCCAGTGGTTGTCAAAAGAAACCATATACATTTGACTCTGTTACCCCTTCAAAGACAAGCTGAGGTGCCTTTAGTTTAATTCTGTACGCTAAAATCTAAGACTCCCTGGAATTCACATTTGTCTATGGCTTCCATGCTCAAGCTAAATTCTGAATCCATTCCAAGCAATGAACATGGAATGGAAGTTTATTTCTTGATCACAAGAAGCAGTTCTGACTTTAGATTAAAATTCATTTTTAGATGCCTGCTCAGTTTGGAAGGAACTCAGGATGTAATGGGACATCTTACAGATAAGTAAGTCCCACCTTGACATCCCTCTCATGTGGTGGGGAGACGTTGCCTACTCAGCCATGAGAGCCAACATTCGCCTGACAGCACTCAATGAGGCTCCTGGGGGAGCTGTGCAGATGGCTCTGGCTGGGGATCATGCCAGTCCACCTTTGAATCCTGGCTCAGCAGATCATGACCACGTGGCCTCGGGCAAGTGGCTTACCTTCTGTAAGCCTCCATTTCCTTATTATTACATGGGGATGAAAGTTGCCCTGAGAATTTCAAAAGTCATTAGAACTTATTTCAGTGGCTGGCATACAGATTAGCAGTTTATAATCTGATTACACAGGGGTTAGGCTCCATACCAGCACCACTGGGAGCTTCCAGGATGAGTAAAACAACAGCCCTGCAGGTATTTAAATTAATGGAAGAATGAGAGTGTAGCATGTGCAGGCCACCATGAACCACCTTACAAGAACCAGCATCGGCATGTTGCTTTGGTGGCTTCTAATGGAGACGAAGGAACATTGATGGGTGGCTCAGACGTCAGAGTCTCTAGGTTGTACTTCTCCAACCAGGAGGGATAATCATCTTTGGTGTACTGACTCCCACTGACTAAACTCATGGCAGGCCTGAAATACAGCACACTTAAATTATAGGGCAAAATATAAAAGCAGGGCTGCCTAGAACTTCTGCACGCTGTGACTGGTATGTACCCCTCTCTGAACATAAGTCTCCCTATCCATTCAGTTCATTTCAGAAGGAGATCTGATATCTGAGAAAAAGGAGCCAGGTGGCCGCAGTGGCAACTGTGGACTGTTAGGCCTAGGCACCTACCCATGGCTGACAGGCCAATCTGCTTAGCTAAATGACTCCCCTTACTCTCCCACTGTGTCTTATGTGTCAAAGGATCAGGAATGACTTTGCCAGGTAACAAAGAGTGTCATCTTAGCACCTAGCCTAGTGCTGGCTCATAGCAAATGTTCAGTAAGTCTTTGGTGAATGACAAATTGATGCCCTCTGAACCTATGGGTCATGCACATTGTACATACTTGAGCATTTCATGTTACGTATTTACTGTAGTCCCAAGCCTCATAAAAATATTTGCACTATGTCTGTTCCCTGACAGACAATATCTTGAAATGATTCTTTAGGTGTCATCCCCAAATTCAGAATTTAGAGTAGATGATTTCAAATAAATCTACATAGATTTAATGCAACCATTGAAAGCATGTAATTCAGTGAGGTTTGACAATAACCACCACAAGAAGGTACAGAACATTTCCATGAACTTAACTCCTTCCTGATGCTTAGAGGCAGTCTCCTCCAACCAGATCAGCTTTCCATCAGACATTTATTCCCCATTCCTGGATTTTATAGAAATGGAATCACAGAGGAGGTACTCTTGTGTGGTTGGCTTCTTTCACGAAGTGTAAGGTTTTTGAGATTCTCAGTGTCTGGTGCTTGCCCTACCACTTTTTGGCCAAGTGGCCTTGGCCAACCTGCTTGACCCTTCGAGGCCCAGCCTCCCTATTTTTAAAGTGGGGTAACAATGAGAGAACACTTGATGGGCAACTGAGGGGTATGACACCAGCTAACCCTAGTATCTGGCCCTGAGAGGCTGAGCAACCATCCAGGTTGCTCAGGACTGAGGAGTTTTGTGGAACACAGGACTTTCCCATGCCAACATATGCAAAGTCCCAGGCAAACCAGACAGCTGGTCACCCTAGATGGTGATAGCTCAGCTGCAGAGGCTGGTTTATTGTGAAGCTAATAAAGCTTCGGCCTCAGGACCTCCCCTGTGCCCCGGTTCTTTCGAGGCCTAGCAGTGTACTGGCACAGCCATATGTTTTTGTAAGATTTATAAGTAAGATATGTTTGCATTCTTCTGCTTCATGAGGTACCCTTCCCTCTCACCAACCCCAATTCCAAACTATATAAGCTTCAGGCCCTACAAAACCTGGAGCTGCTATGGTTATTGCTGATGTGAGTGGCAGCCTGCCATCCACTCTCTGTGCCTGACAGTGGGGTGGGGAATAGCCTGCTGACCTTCCTTCCTCATTCTTCCATTTGGAAGTGGCTGTAACTTGTATCATGCCACTAAACAGATTTAAATCTTCACCCTAATTATACCAGCTATACCATCATCATATCTTTGGGTTCCCCAGAATTCAAGAAACAACACACATCCTCTGTCTCAGTAGGAGAAAGAGTAGGAAGTCCTAGACTTACCTGCTCGATGGTGCCGCAGCCTGAGTACGGAATTGTGAATGTCACCTGGCTGGCCGTTATTTGGGGCTGACACTGGTAGCTTTCATTCAAGTTGGGAATGACAACCTCCGTGTCAGAATAGCCCAGGGATTGGAGATAGCTCCTGCTCACGCTGGCTTGCATATGGTTTGGCAGACAAAGCAGCTCTGGTGGCCAAGGGCAAACAATGCAGACAGTCAGCACCCCAGCAAGCCCACTAGGCACTCCTCCCGTATAAAGATGCAATGACCAAGATGGTGGACAGAGATGGCCCACATCAGAATAGGCCTCACCACAACCCCTCAAATGCTACATGGCTCAGGTCAGTGTCATTCTCACAAGACCCCTTTGAGGGCACAGGGACTTTGGATTCCCCTGATGGAGAAATGGAGGCAGGATGTGAAATGAGTAAAATGTTTTTGCCAACCTATCATTTATCCGTAAAGTAATGCTCCAGTTGAATGGTGGAGATATTATAAAGTCTTTAGCTATGGAATGGGTCAGTGCTTAAAATCCTGACTGCAAAAGAGAGCTCAGACATCACCTTACCCAGTCCCTAAGCCAATCTGTAAATCAACCCATTTACCAGGTCAAATTGTGGCCACTAGCTGGAAGTGGCTGAGTGACTGGCTTAGTCCATCTTCAGATAGAAGCCAGATATGCTAAGTCTCCAGACACAATCACAGTGGCCAGGTGGTCACTTGCATTTTTGATATTGACCTTCCACCATATGCTGAAGGTATGACCTCACATCTTATATTTAGTCTGTGCTGATCACAGTAAGACCACCACACTGCCCATCATCTAGTTCTGACCCTTGACCTCATTTCTGGGCAGCCAGAGTCCCAAGACCACTGCTCATGGCCCCTTTCAGCACCAGATCAAGCCTTAGTGACCTGACAAAGCTGCTCTAGTTTCTTATTTTGCAACCACAGGAGGGTTGAGCAGAGGTGTCGCCCACAACGAGCCCCCATGAGAGGACTTACTGGTGTTATCATTGGAAGGACTGGAGTAGTAGTTAGCCTGGAAGCCCTTCCTCGTGACGCTGCCATCACTGACGAAGCGAATGGACATGAAGTTCGATGACGAAGTGAGGGAGCTCTTGGCTCCATCACAAACACGGGCAATCAGAGGGGAACTATGGGATGGGCCATCGAACACTTCAATATAGTCGTAGTTACAACCACCTTCAAGCCTGCAGGGACAGAACACAGTTTTGGCTTCGCTTTCAACCAGGATTTGATGCAGGGGGTCAGATCTCAGGGAGGGGGGTGTCACATCTTTGTGACAAAATTCATAGTTGAAAAATAATAGAATGATATTCACCTCCCTGTAACTTCCACGCATGGATCTTCGTCCTAACTTTTGGGGTCACACATATGCAATCTATAGCCCCTCTCCTGACACCCCTTTGCATCATGAAAGGAGGGATCACAACATGCCTTAGACTATTTCTTCAAAAGGAAACTGGTTTCCCACAAAATAAAATAAATATTCATGAATCCACAGTGATAGAAATAAATAACCAAACTAATAAATATCGGACAAGTCAAATAACCTCTCTGAAGGTTAGGTGGTCAACCTTCCTCCATAGGATTGCATGAGCTTTAAGTATAGTCTCTGAAATCCAAAATGAATTGTAAAGATGAGGGGATTAAAATGAAACTATATCTTTTGCAAAGAGATAGCAACTGAATGTCCAAGACAGAGATGTGCAAGGCCACAGCAACCAGAATGCATGAGAGAAGGCTATTGTGTTCAGTAATGGTTGTTACAGAAGAAATAATGGCACCCCGTTTCTGTGACACCAGAAAATACTCATACCTCTGTATGGTCACCCCCTCCTTGGACCAATCATACATATTTTAAAAATATTATTTATTTATTTATTCATGAGAGACAGAGAGGAGCTGTAAGCCCGATGCGGGACTTGATCCAAGGACCCCTGGATCACAACCTGAGCTAAAGGCAGATGCTCAACTGCTGAGCCTCCCAGGTGTCCTGGACCAATCGTATATTAACGTGGCTTTGATGCTATTTCCTCTGCTTAAAGCAGTGATTCCACTCTTCATGGAATGAGGAACAGATAAACTAGCCTCTGCAGCAGAGATTTCTCTACCTTTGCTTGACCCCCCAAAACTCACCTCCTCAAAAAAGGAGGCAGTGAGGATAAAAGGGTTTAAAAAAAAAACTGGTGTGGTTAATAGGATTCTGTGCGCTACTATTACTCCTAACAGTCATCCTCCCCATTGGATAACATTTTCCAAGTATGTTCATCTATTTCTCTTTCATGATCTTTCCAGTACCCAGCAATGAGAGGAAAGGAGATATTTTATTCCCTTATTTTGACTGAGAGTCAGGAAACTTAAGTGATTTCCTGTGGTCACACAGCAAATCCATGACAGACCTGGGACTTTGAACCAGGGCTCTCATCCTGGCCCCACCTCCACGGGCTGCCTCTGTCCTCGGTGAAAAAAATTGAACCCGTAAGAGAACATGTCAATTGGGCCAACATCTCTCCTGAAGGGCTAGATACCATGTTCTAAACTATCTGCGAGGTGCCCCACCTATTCTGCTTTGCACCCACACACTTACTGGACATCTTTGAAGACAATAGTCACGTGGTAGTTGTTTGGGACTTCAATGTCCCACACACATCTGGCGTTGTTTGGATAGTTCCTGGGATAGAATGGGCTGGAAAAGTGCCCTGATGGCTGGGACATGAAGCCTCCGCAGAAAGAATTTGCTACTGGGAAGAAATGGAAAAATGTGGAGGGCCCCCAGAGCCCACTATACGGTCCCCTCGGAAATTTTTAAACAACCCCCTAGATAGAAACTCAGCAGAGAGTGGCATAGACCCGGACTGTCCAGGGAGCCTCTACTTAGGGAAGATGTCTCCTCGTTTTTGTCACTGTCCCCCCACCCTCACCCCTGGTGCCCCACCCAGTGGCACTGTCATTGAGAAGAAGGGAAACAGGGTTTATAGGGAGCCCAGAACTTACTGTTTGGGCTGGTGACACCTTGAACAAGAGCTGTTGACAGAGAGAAAAGATAACAATCAGTTTCCTGGGATGGTCGGCACAGTTGTTCAGTGCTCACCTGCTGTGTGCAGAAATATGCCAACCCTGGGTTCACAACCCTTGCCCTCAGAGAGCTCACAGCCTGGAGCGGTGGATGGGAAAGAGCAAACCCCACCCTAACAGGATGGGGCTGTGATCAGGGTAAGCCCAGGACATGGTGGGAGCCCAGAGTGTTGGCTCCTGACCCAGACTGAGCGGAGAAAAGGGAACAGGTAATTGCAGGGCAGGGAGAGCAGGAGTCAAGCAAAAAAAGTAGAGGGGGGGGGTCCTTGCAGAGGGAATAGCCCGTGCAAAGGGACCAGGCCTGCGAGTAATAGCACACTTAGGGAACATCAGTGCAGATGGAGCAGGGAGGGGAGAGGAAACCAAACAGATGCAGAAAGTGGATCATGGAGAGCCCTAGAGACTGTCCTCACCTATGGGGATCTGCACCCCGACAGCCCTGAGGAGTCACATGAAGGGTCCAAGGGCATGGAGGCTGGGATTGACATTGGGATTTCCTAAGGACACCCCCTGCTGCTGTGTGAAGAATGGAGATGGGGGGCGGGGGGCAAGGCTGAGGTGGGGATCGAGGGGAAAGATCTGAGGAGCCAGGAGTGGGCTGAAAATGCTTAGAGCACGTTGAGCAGCAGCTCCAGGTGAGCAATCAGGAGCTTTGGCTGGTTACACGGAGTTCAGTGAGGAAGCAGCACCCACTGACCAGGGTCTGGTGTCCGAGGGGACAGGCAAGACCTACACGAGAGGCTGGCCCTTCTTAGGGACCGACCGGAGATCTGACTCTTAGGCTAGCCAGGTGACTGATGGTCAAAGAGGAGCCCAGGGAGAGGGCCAGCCCTCCTCGGGTGGAGACACCAGCTGCAGGGGACACCAGTGCCAGGGAAGGCATAAGGGGCGATTCCTGGGAGAGTGGGTGGCGTGCCCGGCACCAGCAGCAGAGAGGGCCAGCCAGGCGGCTGGGTGGAAATCACGGGTTCTTACCAGGAGTTGTTGGGTCAGTTCCTGAAAAGAGATAGGAGAAAAGGGTCAGTCACTGAAGGGCAGCTGGAGGAGGGACCAGATTGTGGCAGGGACACACCTGTGTGACTCAGTCTGACCTTTTTAGTGAGTGCACCCATGACTCGTGGAGTTACTGCTATGGAGATCTGTGTTACCAGGGGGAGGCCTTGGGCAGGTCTTCCCAGCTTCTCCCCCCGCCTCATCATCGCTTGAGGGTGATGCCATTAGTGCCACAGCCAAGGTCACACCATCACTTAGTCCTCATTTCTCACTTGTCTTGAATTGTTCTAAGGCTTTACACACATGAGCCACTTAGGTTTCTAATTGCCATTGGCAGCAGGTGCATCATGACCATCTCCTCTTTGAAAAGGAGGAAACTGTGGCTTACAGACACGACCTCATAGCTAAAGGTCGCAGAGCAAATGTAAGGGTAAGAACATACACATATGCCAGCTGTGTGGCCAGCAAAACAGCCCCAGGGCCTGAGACAAAGTGGTCCCTGCATGGTCACCCAGAGGGGGAAGGCCAAGGGCACAGCTATAAAACTCCTGTCCACCTCCACCCCCAGAACTCAGCCACGAACACCATTAGCCACCAGCCCTTAGCTCCCCCTCTCTAGTAGGTCAGAGGAGAAAGGGGCCTTCCACAAATGACACCTTGTGGTACCTGAGCAAATGACTGCAGCATCTTCACTGTGTGCACAATTATGGGAGAACCAGCCTTGGTTCCAGCACTGCCAGAGGGTAGATTCGGTCCCTGAGCACGCTACGTCGTCCAGGGTGATGGGGCCAGAGCCCTGCCCAAAATAGGCATTTCCCGGGGCTGATACTGCATATCCACACCTCAGCTGTCTGCAGACCACATGGGCATCCTGAATGTCCCAGAAATCATCACAAACCGTCCCCCACCTGCCACCGTGGTAAATTTCCACACGCCCGGCACATGCATTATAGGAGACGTTTGAATTGACTAATCTCAAGCTGGCATCTGAAAGACACAAGGAATAAGAACTGATGACCATTCCTACAACAGATCTCAAAGGCCGAATACCCCGTGGGCCTTTCTCACCCCCAAAGTCACCAGGGGATTGATCAGGGGACGAACATCTCCAAGATCAGCTGGAACGGGCTAAAGACACCACAGAGCTCAGACCCCCTCATCCTTCATATGGGGACATGATAGCTCAGCAAGATCAGTCACCAGGTCACCTGGGAAGTGGCAAATCCAAGGCCAGGGTGTGTCCACTATTCCCCACGGCTCTCAGCCTTGGTTTACCAGAGTCGGCTGTGAGATAAGGAGGAAGGGCAGCACATGGCTGGAGCCATTCTTTGAAATCACATAAGAACCATGACACACCCCAAAGCACGGTTCACCTAAACACACTGAGCCTTGAAGTTCACTTCTGTTGGATTTGGTTCAAACGTACCTCTAGGAAAGGAGTTATACCAAGCAGAAAAGCCGATGTTTTGGACACTGGCATCACTTCGAAATCGAACAGTCATTCGGTTGTAGGAGGAGGTGAATGTTTGCCTGGTGTCATTACAAATTTTCCCCAGAAAGTTACTGTTATTCAGGGATCTATCAGAGATTTCAACATAATCAAAAGTGCAGTTACTATGCATCTCCAGCCTGTAAGGAAAAAAAAAAGTGGACTCATATTGACATTGAAATTTCTATTGCTCCTGTATTTTACAGATAGTTTGGGCTTTGATGAGTGATGTCATTGAGTCTGAGATTTTCTTTGTGCTCTTCCTCAATCAGATCACAGGGCTTCCCTATGTTGCCCTGATGCTTCATGGTAGGATCAGAGCAATGTAATGTCACCTGAGAGTGAAAAAGCATCCATGGAGGAACATCCTTCACCGGATGATCTGAGTTTTACTTACTGCAGACGGTTGAAGCCCAGATTTATGCGGTAGCCGGGGTTCACTTCTATTTCCCAGATACACTCAGCGTTGTTGGGGTAGTATCCAGGGTAGGATGGGCTCGAAAAGGTCCCACTGGCATTGAACAAGAAGCCACCACAAGCTGTAGACTGTCCTATAGAGGAGACAGAGAGCGACACCCCAACATGGCAGGTGTCAGGTGTATTATAACAAGCAATTGTTTTCTGGGTAAGAGCCCTCAGGCTTTATCTTCCCGTCTTACAACACGACTCAGTTTTTCCTCTCTCAGGCCTGGTCCTCGGCTGCCCACATTGGGGGCATTGATCTGAGGATCTGCCTAGAAAAGCAGCTCTCTGCCAAGAGGTGACCCAAGCTTCAGAGGGAACATGGGTCCCCTTGTGGTAAAAATCCCAAGAAACAACAAAGTGATTACTGTCATTGTCCAGTGGAGGACAGGGATATCATGGCTGAGCTAAGCAGGAGGGGTGACCCACGGAGAGCTCTCTGCAAAGTAACTTATTCTGTAGGGTCTCCCGCCAGCTGACAAGAAGCAGTGGAAAGTGGGGTCGAGAGTATGGTTTCTGCCACAGAAAGCCTGGGCTTGCATCTTGGCTCTGCCTTTACCAGCTCCATGATCTTGAGCAAGCTACTGAAACTCTCTGCCTCAGTTTCTTCATCTGAAAAAATGAGAGGGCTAATAACTAGTATCTGCCTCATCAGATTCCCGTGTGTATTAAATGAGACAAGACACGTGAACCTCGAAAGCAGTGCCTGGCACAGAGTACGCACCCAACAGTATTAGCTCTTATTATTTATCACATAATGAGAAGTAATAGTAAGCGTTCAAACTTTCGTTGGTCAGTTTAATAGACCATTTAAAAATATTTAGATACTCGGTGGTGATGTAAATTGAGTTTGGTTCTTATTCATAGGTCTGTTTGTGTGTTATTGCACACTGTACAATTTGATGGTTTTTAGTATATTCGGAGTGCTAAAGCCATCACTGCAGTCATTTTGAGAGTATTTTTGTCACTCCAGAGAGAAACACTGACCCAACAGTAGTCATTCTTCTTTGCCCCCCCCCCCAGGCCAAGGCAACCACTAATGTACTTTGTCTTTACAAATTTGCCTATTCTGAACATTTCTTATATGTACAATCCTACAATATGTGGTCTTTTGTGACTGGCTTCTTTCACTTAGCATCTTGTTTTCAAAGTTCATCACTGTTGTAACATATATGAACAAGCAGCAGGACTTCACCTCCCTCTACTGCTAAGTAATATTCTGCTGGAAGCATGGACCGTATTTTGTATATCCATGCACTGTGATGGATCAGTTGTTTCCACTTTGGGGCCATTGGGAACAAAGCTGCCCATCTCTGAGCAGTCATATGTGAGTTTCTGTGTGGACACGTGCTTCCCTTTCCCCTAAGTATATGCCTATGAGTATAATCATCTGGTCTTATGGTAATTCTCTGTTTAACTTTTGTGAGGAGCCACGAGACTGTTTCTCAAAGTGGATGTACATTTTGTATTCCCATCAGCAGAGTGTGAGGGTTCTGAATTCTTCGCCTCCTCACCAACACTTGTTATTACCTGACGTTTTTATTCTAACAAACCTACTGAGTGTGAAGTAGTATCTCTTTGTGGATTTGATTTGCATGTCCCTGATGGCTAATGATGTTAGACATATTCACATGTGCCATTGACCATTTGTATATCTTCCGTGGAGAAATACCTGTGCAGATCCCGTGCTCATCCCTTCATTGGGCATTGGACTTTTTATTGCTGACTTGTAAAAGTTCCTTATGTATTCTAGATGCAAGTCTCTTATCAGATATATTATTTACAAATATTTCCTCTCCTTCCTTGGAAAAACAGTGTTTCATAAGGATAAATTGGCCTTTAAAATATGCCTACCCATAAATTCTATTTCTACATTGGGAAGTAATGAAAGATGAGGCTGAAGTTTCAGAGGAGAGGATATGCATTATAAATTTCTGAAAATGTAATAGGGACAATTATAAAATAAAATTAAAATGCTACTGCATGTGATTACCTAAGTATATAAAACAGATTTAGAAAGAATTAATTCTTTTGTTCTGTGATTAGTAATTGTTTAATTAAATCAGGATATAGCTGTAGAATGGAGAACTGTGTGACCATTAAACTTTATGGTATAAAAATAATTTCAATGCCATAAAAAGGTTAATGTTAGGGACACTAAAAAAAGTATCCTATACTCAAGTGAAAAAGGATGTTATAAGGGAGGGTATAAAGCGTGCTGTCATTTGTGCATATGTGCGTGCTGGTGCATGTATCAAAATGCTAATTGTGATTAAATGTTCACCCATTCATCCATGTGTTCACTTATTCTTTCTAGAAACATGTTATGCCAGATACAAAGCTAGGTAATAGGTATACAAAAAGGTTAAAGGCAGATATGGTCTCTGCCCTCAGGAAGTATACAGTTTGGCATAAAAGTCATGGATGATCTTTTGTAAATAGACATCTGATGTTGTAAGTCCTTAGCATAAAACTTGTCAACACATCCAAATGTCCTTAGGATAAGGTCGGAGTTCTAACCCATGCACAAAGCTCTGAATGGTCTGGCAATAGCCAAGCTCCTTCCCACCCAGGTCTTCAAAGTGTTCCTTCTGGCTGGAAGGCATGTCAGCAAATGAGTCTGCTTCTTCTGTGTGCCTCAGCATAAGCAGCATCTTGTACAGAATGCCCTCATCCCTTGATCAAGTAAAATCCCTGATAATATACCCTCTTTACACACTGAACCTCCCCACTGAAGGACCTGTTACACCTGTAATTACATCATAAATCCAGTCAAAAATATTAACTACTGTGAGCCATTTGAGGGGGGAGATCAGTTTCTCTTTTCAAACATTCTGAAAATTTACAACATGCTTGAAGGCCATTGGACCATATATACAGCAAAGAATACAGCAAAGACCTTAAAATATTTAGCATAAGAAGAGTTAGTATTTGTTAAGTACGTTCTATATACCAGGCACTATGTTAACTTTAGTCCAGTAAATTTATTATTTTCCTACAGGAAAAATTGGGAAGATATACAAAGACTTATAATGATATTCTGCATCAGAGGATCATTCATAATAATGAAGAAATATAAACATGTAAATGTCCAGCAGTTGGGGACTAGCTAACTAGTGGGGGGTCATAGCTATGTAATGAGACCAAAGGCAGGCAATTAAAATGATGGGAAGAAAATATTCAATGACATACACAACTGGCCATATTTCTTAAGAGTGATGGAAAGCGATTGAGCAATAGCCACTCTGGGATGGAAAATTTACTTGTAAAGGATTGATTAGTTGTGAAATGATCCATTTATTGTCTCCCTTCCTTCTCTCAGAGCTTTTGAGATACCCCAAGAAACAAAAGCCTTTAAACGATTCTTTGAAGAATACCTTATTCTATTTCCTTGAAGAAGGGGAAGTAGAACTCCTTATTGAAACAAAACTTATCCAGGTGGAAGGGGATAAAAAGGTTGCATGTCTGGAAGGTAGAGGCAGGTTGCGTGTGTGCATGCAGCTTGGGTGCAATGTATGGGGGGGCAGGTCTGGGTAGGTTACATGCCCTTGTTCAACTGGGCTGTGCATTTATAGGCATCTACTGCATGGACAGTCTGCCTGGGGACAAGAACTCCATTCCCTCGGGTAGAAAAATGTGATACCTACCATGAGTGGTTGTAGATGAAGGGCGCCACCAATCTAGAAATAAAATGAAATAATTTTAGGATTTAGTGGAAAAGTTTTCATTCCATGTTCATTAGTTTGGTAAGGAAAGGTCAATGGTAACCCTCATTGGAGGACTTGTCAGGACTTGTCAGGTGGTGGACAATTACACCCTACACTGTGGATGGCCCAGATGGGCTAGAGTATGGTGCTAGTACTTCCCAACATACTCGGCACTGACTGTTTTCACCATGGGGTAGAGAACACTTGGAGATGGCTCTCTCAACATGAAGTGATTCTGGAACACACAAGCACTACTAGGAGTTTATATGGGCATGTTTCTCAAATGATCCCTTTTGACTGAACAGTTACTTTCTTCTGAAATGACCAGAGGGGACCAAAAGCCCTTCCACCACAGAATCTTTGAGCAAATCCTGGCAGCAGGCAGGTGCATGAGACCCAGATGGGCCCGTAATCTCAACTAAGTAGGAGCCAAGGTCCTGGGGACTCAGATGCTGGTCACTGTAGGGAATACCAGAGTCCTCCAAGAGATGAGCCTCGTCCTATCTTCCAATTCTAGAAACGTGAGAGTCGGATTCCAGACATGATTCATGCTGAGCTGGGCTACAGCTACTCACCTGTCGTAGTAGGAGGGCTTCCTGTAGATGCTGCAAAGGAAGAAGACACATCATCAGTTTCTGTAAATGATGTGCAGGAAGAAGCCTCTCAGGCTCCAGACAAACAAAAAAGCTGAGGGACTGTCCCCGCTAGAACTAAGAAAGACTTTCTGGGAGTGGTTGTGAGGAGCAGAGCTGGTAAATACCCCCAAGGAACAGTGCTGTGGAATTTGTTCTCAAAATCTTTATGCCCATTCACACACTGATACTCCACAGGCACTTTAAAGAAGGTGCTGTAGTTCACCCATAAAACTGAGGTACACCAGGATGATGGGTGATGCAGGGTCCTCTCAAGCTATGAGGGAAACCCCTGCCCTTCAGTAACACTCAGAAATACGAGAAAACAGTGAAAGAAAAAGAGTTTTTCTAGAAAAAATAACAAAAAAACCCAGAGGGCCAATATCATGAGGACCCACCTGAGCAAACGACACTTGCATCCTCTGAGTGCCTGCAGTTGTGCAAGTTCCAGCCATTGTGGGGGCAGTTCCACAGGTAGGACTCATTTCCAGAGCAGCGCAAGTCATCCAGCACAATTGGGCCCGATCCCTGACCAAAGCGGGCATTTCCTGGAGCTGATGTGGCCCAGCCACAGCCCAGCTGCCTGCAGACCACGTTGCCATCATTGGTGTCCCAGCTGTCATCACACACGGTGCCCCACGAGCCTCTGTACAGGACCTCCACGCGGCCCTGACACCGGTCCCCTCCGTTCACCAGCCTCAGAGCCAAACCTGTTTCATTTCCTAGCAGGACAAAGAACGAGACCTCCGGTCTGTGGATGCCTTAAGGTCATAGGCTAAAGGCATGTGGCAGACTCAGGGACTTCCTCCTGGCTAGTGGGCCCTGGGCAGGCGGTCACCTTTGCACGTGCCCAGAGGTTCATCATCAGCACAGGGATCGGACCAGAGATGTCCTAATCAGCCCAGGCCTAAGGATGCTCCAATGCAGAGAAGCACCTTATGATTCATGAAGGGCAGAAGGAAGACAAACTCACCCCACCCTGGACACACGGAGGATGGACCCCCATCACTACTGAGGGCAGGCCAAGGCCACTACTCAGCAGGGCAGCTTAGTGGCTCCTGTGGGGTCCTGGCTTGGTTCTAGCAAAGTCCCAGGACATAAGGACACCTTGGCAAGGAAGGTGCAACAGCAGCAGCACTTTGCCACTGTCTTCCGGGGACTCTACCCCAAGGCCTGGGGGCACAACCAAAGTCCCAGCTATGGTTGAGTCACCTCCAGGATTCACACTGAGAAGATCTTGGAGAAGATCTTCACTGAGCATCAGCCCAGGATTGCCCTGGAACCAAGTGGCCACCCCCTGTGATCAGATTTAGAATATTGTATTCAAAGAACCCTCTCTCCACCTCCCATCCTTCACATACACAAACACACACATAGGAACACACACACATGGGCACACACTCACACCCATGGCACAAGGATAAGAAAGGTACACCCTGAGATTCCTCCTGTCATTTCCAAACCCAAACTTCATCCTGAAGCAGAGAATAAGCCAGGGAGGATGGATGGGAATATTTATCTATTGTGGCATTTACAAATGCAGTTGAGGGGCGCCAGGTGCCTAGAAGAGGCAACAAAGGTAAAAGACAAGTAGACATAATGGGAAACAGTCTTTGAAAAGTGTTTCTGGTGGGCAGTGTGACAAGTGCACATCTGCTTCCTGACTCCTTCCACCAGCCTCTTGCTTAGCCACTTACTTGGGATGAAGGCCATGCAGGAGAACAACCTGGTGCCCCCACATCCATCTCTAAGCCAGGAAGATTCTCCTTTCCCTCAGGAAACTGTGCCACCTCCCTACTCAAGACATGTATATCTGAGGGGTCTCCCACACTCTGAAGCTTGGACAGAAAGAATCTGGGGTGTGTGGGATACCTGGGTGGCTCAGCAGTTAAACATCTGCCTTTAGCCCAGGGTATGATCCTGGAGACCCGGGATCAAGTCCCACATCAGGTTCCCTATGTGGAGCTGGCTTCTCCCTCTCCCTCTGCCTGTGTTTCTGCCTCTCTCTCTGTGTCTCTCATGAACAAATAAATAAAATACGAAAAAAAAAAAGAATCTGGGGTGTGGTGGGCCCACCTGAAACCGATCAAATATCCTAGTACCCGGAACATGGCCATCACTTATTCCACTCCCATCCCCTGAGCTCTGTCCCTGACACTCTGCATATACACATGACCCTGATGAGTCTGAGGCTGTTGTAAGCCCTGAGCAGGGAATAGGATCCAGCCTGCTCTGATGACCCTTCCATAGGAGGTCAGTGGGCACCAGCAACTGTCCTTTCACTCAACTTGTCGGCATGGATTGCGTCTCAGGTGAAATTCACTGTATACTTGGTCAGTTCTCTGACTTATAGGCAACCATCTCATGGGACCCTTTGAAAGGACTAGAGGAAAACTCAAGGACTGATGGAAATGTGGGACTCATGAGTCACCTATCTAGTTAAGAACAGCCTGGTGGAGACCCCAGTGATGGAGGGCACAAACAGTGCCCATTGGTTATACAAAGAGCAATGGTTCACCCACACTGGTAGGAACAAGGGTGGATGGGACAGAAGCAACAGGCCGTTCCAAATAGGGTGCCGAGCACTCACACACCCGGCTAGGGGGCATGTGGACTGGGGCTGAACAACTGTGAAAAGGAAACATGAATAGGACACACAGCACACAGGTCTCCCTACCAGATCAAAGGCTGAAGAAACTCAGACTATCCCAACTGAGTTCACGCTTCCATGTGCCTTCAGGTAGATAGAGCCAAGGCCTGCCATGAACCAGTCAGGACTAGGGATCCCCACCCTAGGTCCCAGTGCCCACACCTGCTTTCTGCTGGGTCTGACAGCTGGCATTCGAACAGGTGGAATGCCCCTACCAGGCCGAGGACAGGCCAACAGAGCCACTGCATTCATTCTATGCAGGAAGAGCAAGAGTGAATCTGGGCAGTTAGTCTGCAGAGACCCCACTTCCACCTCCCATGTTCAATGCTCTCACTCTTTACAAGTTAGTTGGGCCCTGATGCAGGAGGTCAGCCTCAGCAACTGGGGTCCAGCTAACTTGTTGGGGGTCATAGCTGCATAATGAGATCAAAGGCAGCCAATTATAATGATGGGAAGAAAATATTCAAGGACATCCACAAGTGGCCATATCAGTTCTTAAGAAGATAGAAATCTTTATAGCAACAGCCATTCCAAGATGGAAAATTTACTGTATAGAATTGATTAGTTGAGAAATGATCCATTTTTTGTCTTCCTTCCTTCTCTCAGAGCTTTTGAGATATCCCACAATACAAAAGTCTATAAATCGATCCTTTGAAGAATACCTTGTTCGATTCCTGAAAAGAAGGGGAAGAAGAACTCCTAATTGAAATAAGAGTTAACCACTAGGTAGGGAGGATAAAAGGCCTTCTCTGTAAGGTAGAGGCAAGATGTGTGTATGTGCAGCCTTGGTGCAATATGGTGGAGCAGGGTGGGTAGGTTACAAGCTCAGGTTCAAAAAGGCTGTGCATTTACAGACATCTACTGAATGGAGAGCCTGACTGGGGATGAGAACCCTGTGTCCACATGTGGAAAACGTGATACCTACCATGAGTGGTTGTAGATGAAGGGCGCCAACAATGTAGAAAGAAAATGAAGTAATTTTAGGACTTTAGTGGAAAAGTTTTCATTCCATGCTAGTTAGTTTGATAAGGAAAGGTCAATGGTAACTCTCATGACAGGACATGTCAGAGTCTGACCAATTCCACTATACACTGTGAAAGGCCCAGATCGGCGAGAGTATGCCATTATTACTTCCCAACACACTTGGCACTGACTATTTCCACCGTGGGGTAGAGAACACGTTGGGGATGACTCTCCCAACAGGAAAGAATTCTGGACACACAAGCACTGTTAGGAGTTCTGTTGGTGCCTATTTCTCAAATGCTCCCAATTCTGAATTAAATATTTACTTTCATCTGAAATGGCGGAGGAGAGCAAGAGCCTTTCCACTGTAGAATCTCTAATCAAAGTCTGGGAATAGGGAGGGGCGGGGGATCCAGATGGGCCTGGAGTCTCACTAAATAGGAGTCAAGGATCTGGAGACTCAGCTGGTGGTAACCATACTGAATGACAGGGTCCCACAAGAGAAGATCCTGGTCCTCTCTTCCAACTTCTGGAAACACTAGAGTTGAATTCCAGACAGGAATCATGCTGGGCTGGGCACAGCTACTCACCTGGCGTAGTAGGAGGGATTGCTGTAGATGCTGCAAAGAAAGAGGACACATCGTCAGTCTCTGTGAACGATGTGCAGAAAGAAGCTTCCCAGGGTCAAGGCAAACAAAAATTCTGAAGGACCATCCTCACAGGCACAGGAAAGACTTTCTGGGAGTGGTCCTGGGGGAAGAGCTGTAAACTACACCTCAGGGGCAGGATTTCACAAAGAACAGTGTTGAAGGATTTGAACTCAAAAGCTTTATGCCCTCTCATGTTCGACTACTCTACAGGTTTCCTTAAAGAAGGTGCTGAGGTCCATGCCTAAACCTGAGGTACGCCAGGATGATGGGTGATGCAGGTTCCTGTCAAGCTATGAGGGAAACCCCTGCCCTTCGGTGAAATCAGGAAGATGATAGAACATTGAAAGGAATAGTTTGTCTAGACAAATTAACAAACAAAACCAGAGGGCAAATATCGTGAGGACCCACCTGAGCATATGACACTTGCGTCCTCAAAGTGCTTGCAGTTGTGAGAGTTCCAGCCATTGTGGGGGCAGTTCCACAGATAGGACTCCTGCCCGGAGCAGCCCACATTGTCCAGGACAATTGGGCCCGAGCCCTGACCAAAGCGGGCATTTCCTGGGGCCGAGGTGGCCCAGCCACAGCCCAGCTGCCTGCAGACCACGTTGGCATCATTGATGTCCCAGCTGTCGTCGCACACGGTGCCCCACGAGCCACTGTACAGGACCTCAACGCGGCCCTGACACCGGTCACCTCCGTTCACCAGCCTCAGGGCCAACCCCGAATCTGTCCCTACCAGGAGATAGGAAAACTGTCTTTCTCTGTGTTCTCAAAGGAAGAACTCCTGCATTCTGAGTGCAGGATAATTCTTTCAGGGCCCAGGTGCCCTGGGTATGATTAATCTTCCCCAGCAACGGGACCCTCTGAAACCTTCTCATCATCATTCCAACTCAAGGGGACATTTGATGGTACCCCTGATCATCAATTGACTTAGGAGTATTCATTGTCGGTTGCCCACAAAGTGGGATTGAGAGAGTTTTTCCGAGGCATCATGACAGTGGCTCATCTGCACCCAGCCTCCTAGTACCTGTGTGTGCTGTGCAAGTCTCCTGCTCTGCTAGCTTTTCTGGGTCTAAAACGTTTACATAAGCCAGATCCCTTCACATCTCTCAGCCTGACATGTTCTTTTCTACTTTAGAAACCAGTGCTTCTTGTCTATCTTGACTCATAGACGACTGAAGGGATTCTCATAAGGAACTTGTAAGAAAGAGTCAGGGGTATTGAGGGTCAACATGGAGCCATCTGTATATCCCTGTATCGAGAGCACGTGCATCTCTTAGCAGCCTCTCATCTCTCGGCCTCTCTCCATGCTGCATTGGATATACAGTGTTGCAAGTCCTGAATATTGAGGAGGATCAGGCTGCCGAGATGTCTCCTTAAGAAGACATCAGTGCTCCCCATGGCCCATTCTGCCACTCTGCTTGTCAGCCCAGACAGCATTTCAGATAAAGCTCTTGCCACCCATGGCCAGTTCTCTGAACCTGCAGGCAGGTGTCTCTTGGGACACTTGGAAAATACTAGATGAAAACTCATGGAATGATGGGAAAAAATGGGAAAATTTTAATCCTATACCTAATAAAGACCTCCCTGTTAGAGACTCAGTGACTGGGAACCACAAAATGTGCCCACAAGGTCCTCAAGGAGCAATGATTTACCCCAAATGGAGAAAAAAGGGATGGATGGGAAGAAGAGAAACATTCCAACTGGGGTGCCCAAAGACTTAAATGGCCACCCATGGTGGTCACTTGATGGTTGATATGGTTTGAACAGCTAGTAGAAAGAAACACAGGTCAGATACAAAGTGCATTGGTGTTGCAACAGAATCAAAGGTAAAAGAACATCATGCTATACCTCGCCAGAGCAGGCCTCCATCTGCCCCTGAGTAGACAGAGCCAGGCCTGCTCTCGGGAGCCTAACCCTTGTCCTACCACCATTGTCTGCCTTGATGTGGCTGGGGACTGAGTTTCCAGCAGGTTGAATATCACTGCCAGGCTCAAAGAGGCCACCAAGTCATTGCACTGTCTCCATGTGGGAACTGCAAGAATGAGTCTGGACACAGCTGAACATAATTCCAAGTCCACCAGCACAGGTACAATGCTCTCACTCTTTGCAAGGCAGTTCAGCCCTAGTGCAGCAGGTCAGCCTGAGCAACTATGGTCTAGCTAACTCGTTGAGGTTCATAGCTGTGTAATGAGATCAAAGGCAGCTGATTAAAATCATGGGAAGAAAATATTCAAGGACAGCCTCAAGTGGCCATTTCAGTTCTTAAGAGTGAAGAAATAGCCATTCCAGGATGGAAAGTTTACTTGTAAAGAGTAGATGAGTTGTGTTATTATCCATTTAATGTCTCCCTCCCTTCTATCAGAGCTTTTGAGATTCCCCTGAGATATAAAAGTCTACATTCAATTCTTTGAAGATTGCCTTGTTCGATCTCGAAAAGCAGGGCAAGTAGCTCTCCTTATTGAAACAAAGCTATCCACGAAGCCTGAAGGATAAAAAGGCTGCATGTCTTGAGCGAAAGGCAGGCTGTGTGTGTGCGTGCATCTTGGGTGCAGTGTATGGTGAGGCAGATCTGAGTAGGTTACATGCACAAGTTCAAGCGGCCTGTGCATTTACAGGCCTCTACTGCATGGACAGCCTGTCTGGGGATGATAACCCCGTGTCCTTAAGTGGAAACATATGATACTTACCACGACTGGTTGTTGATACAGGGCGCCAAAAATCTAGAAAGAAAATGAAGTAATTTTAGGACTGTACTGGACACTTTTCATTCTGTGCTCATTAGTTGGTAAGGAAAGGTCAATTCTATGCCTTCCTGATGTACGTCTCAGAGTCTGGACAAATTCACTTTACACTGTGAATGGCCCAGATGGCCTGGAGTTTGACGCTAGAGGTTCCCAACATACTCAGCACTGACTGTGTGCACCGTGGAGTAGAGAACACTTTTGGGATGACTCTCTCAACAGGAAAGAATTATGGAACACACAAGCACTGGAAGGAGTCCTGTGGGAGCCTATTTCTCAAATGCTCCCAATTCTGAATTGAATATTTAGTTTGATCTGAATTGAACAGATGAGACCAATAACCCTTCCACTGCAGACTTATGACAAACCCTAGCAGCAGGCAGGTGCATGAGATGGGCCAGTAGTCTCAACTAAGTAGGAGTCAAGGATCTGGGGACTCAGCTGGTGGTAACCGTAGTGAATGCCAGGATCCCGAAAGAGAAGATCCTGGTCCTCTCTTCCAACTTCTGGAAACACTAGAGTTGAATTCCAGACAGGAATCATGCTGGGCTGGGCACAGCTACTCACCTGGCGTAGTAGGAGGGATTGCTGTAGATGCTGCAAAGAAAGAGGACACATCATCAGTCTCTGTGAACGATGTGCAGAAAGAAGCTTCCCAGGGTCAAGGCAAACAACAATTCTGAAGGACCATCCTCACAGGCACAGGAAAGACTTTCTGGGAGTGGTCCTGGGGGAAGAGCTGTAAACTACACTTCAGGGGCAGGATTTCACAAACAACAGTGTTGGAGGATTTGAACTCAAAAGCTTTATGCCCTCTCACGTTCGGCTGCTCTACAGGTTTCCTTAAAGAAGGTGCTGAGGTCCATGCCTAAACCTGACGTATGCCAGGATGATGGGTGATGCAGGTTCCTGTCAAGCTATGAGGGAAACCCCTGCCCTTTGGTGAAAACAGGAAGATGATAGAACATTGAAAGGAATAGTTTGTCTAGACGAATTAACAAACAAAACCAGAGGGCAAATATCGTGAGGACCCACCTGAGCAGATGACACTTGCGTCCTCAGAGTGCCTGCAGTTGTGCGAGTTCCAGCCATTGTGGCTGCAGCTCCACAGATAAGACTCGTGCCCGGAGCAGCGCACATCGTCTAGCACAATCGGGCCCGAGCCCTGACCAAAGCGGGCATTTCCTGGGGCCGAGGTGGCCCAGCCACAGCCCAGCTGCCTGCAGACCACGTTGGCATCATTGGTGTCCCAGCTGTCGTCGCACACGGTGCCCCACGAACCTCTGTACAGGACCTCCACGCGGCCCTGACACCGGTCACCTCCGTTCACCAGCCTCAGGGCCAACCCCGAATCGGTCCCTACCAGGAGACAGGAAAATTGTCTTTCTCTGTGTTCTTGAATGAAGAACTCCTGCTTTCTCAGGGCAGGGTAATTCTTTCAGGCCCAGGTGCCCTGGGTATGATTAATGTTCCCCAGCAATGGGACCCTCTGAAACCTTCTCATCATCATTCCAACTCAAGGGGCCACTTGATGATACCCGTGAGTGTCAATTGACTTAGGAGTATTCCCTGTTGGTCCCCCCAAAATTAGGATTTGAATTCTTGAGCCTAGCCCTGCCATGCCATGGGGGAAGGCAGAAACAAGTAGCCTGATCTATGCCACTGAGACTGCCTTGAACACAAGCTTTATACCCAGAGAAACGACCCTGCTGCCCCAAGGTGCTGTCCTAGGTTCTTCTGGCATTCAGAGTGTCTATCTTCACCCCACTGTGGTATATCACGGACTCTGTTCCAGGCCCCAAAGCTTGTTCAACATCTTTTGATGTTGACATGCTCCTGTTCTCTCAAGGCCCAGACATCTACTGAATCTAGCAATCCTCATTCATGACAACAGGCAGGAGTACCTGTCATTGTCATGTTGCTCTGCATACTTAGAGCTACCCAGGCCTCCTGGAGACAGAAAGCCAACAAAACTTGGCAGCATTAAGGTCTTCTTGTGGGTAGGCCTTTTGGCACACTTAGCACCATAGCAGACATCATGATTCCTCAGTGTGCCCCGGACCGTGCCTTCTCTACCCATGAGCAGCTCTGGGGCACTGACCATATGTGATACTCAGGCCTTCAAGCTTCTATAAAATGAGGCCCCAACTCTTCACAAAGATGGATAGATGTGATGAGCCCAAGAATAGATGCCCACCATCAGTAGTCGTGATGGAAATGCAAATCCTAACAAAAGCAGGAAAGTGCCCCTGCTCATTGTATCATGACAGTAAATGAGACTAAAGAAGAAGTGTTGATGAGGATGCAGAGACAGTAAAATCCTCAAATGCTGCTGGATTTGTGCCCAGAGCAGCCCACATTGTCCAGGAAAATCAGGCCCGAGCCCTGACCAAGGCAGGCATTTCCAGGGGCCAGAGTGGGCCAGTCACAGCCCAGCCACCTGAAGACCACGTTGGCATCATTGGTGTGCCAGCTGTCATTGCACACGGTGCCCCACAAGCCTCTGTACAGGACCTTTCGTGGCACTGACACCGGTCACCTCCGTTCACCAGCCTCGGGGCCGATCCCAAGGGAAAAAATGGGAAAATTTGAATCCCACACCTACTTAAGACCTGCCTGTTAGAGACTCAGTGACTGGGAACCACAAAATGTGCCCACAAGGTCCTTAAGGAGCAATTATTCACCCAGAATGGAGAAAAAAGGGATGGATGGGAAGAAGAGAAACATTCCAAGTGGGGTGCCCAAAGACTTAAATGGCTGGATGGTTGATATGGTTTGAACAGCTAGTAGAAAGAAACACAGGTCAGATACAAAGCGCATTGGTGTCACAACAGAATCAAAGGTCAAAGAACATCATGTATATCTCCCCAGAGCAGGCCTCCATGTGCTCCTGAGTAGACAGAGCCAGGCCTGCCATAATCTCTCTGTCCTGAGGGAGCCTAACACTTGTCCTACCGCCATTGTCTGTCTATATGTGGCTGGGGACTGAGGTTCTGGCAGGTTGAATATCACTGCCAGGCTCAAAGAGGCCACCAAGTCATTGCACTGTCTGCATGTGGGAACTGCAAGAATGAGTCTGGACACAGCTGAACATAACTCCAAGTCCACCAGCTCAGGTAAAATGCTCTCCCTCTTTGCAAAGCAAAAGTGACTAGTGCTCTAGTGCCCTAGTGCAGGAGGTCAGCCTGTGCAACTGGGGTCTAGCTAACTCGTTGGGGGTCATAACTGTGTAATGAGATCAAAGGCAGCCGATTAAAATCATGGGAAGGAATATTCAAGGATAACCTCAAGTGGCCATTTCAGTTCTTAAGAGTGAAGAAATAGCCATTCCAGGATGGAAAATTTACTTGTAAAGAGTAGATGAGTTGTGTTATTATCCATTTACTGTCTCCCTCCCTTCTCTCAGAGCTTTTGAGATTCCCCTGAGATATAAAAGTCTACATTCCAGTCTTTGAAGATTCCCTGTTCGATCTCGAAAAGCAGGGCAAGTAGCTCTCCTTATTGAAACAAAGCTATCCACGGAGCCTGAAGGATAAAAAGGCTGCATGTCTTGAGCGAAAGGCAGGCTGTGTGTGTGTGTGCGTGCATCTTGGGTGCAGTGTATGGTGAGGAAGATCTAAGTAGGTTACATGCACAAGTTCAAGCGGCCTGTGCATTTACAGGCCTCTACTGCAAGGACAGCCTGTCTGGGAATGATAACCTTGTGTCCTTAAGTGGAAACATATGATACCTACCACGACTGGTTGTAGATACAGGGCGCCACCAATCTAGAAAGAAAATGAAGTAATTTTAGGACTTTACTGGATAACTTTTCATTCTGTGCTCATTAGTTGGTAAGGAAAGGTCAATTCTATGCCTTCCTGATGTACGTCTCAGAGTCTGGACAAATTCACTTTACACTGTGAATGGCCCAGATGGCCTGGAGTATGACGCTAGTAGTTCCCAACATACTCAGCACTGACTGTGTGCCCCGTGGAGTAGAGAACACTTTGGGGATGACTCTCCCAACAGGAAAGAATTATGGAACACACAAGCACTGGAAGGAGTCCTTTGGGAGCCTATTTATCAAATGCTCCTAATTCTGAATTGAATATTTAGTTTGATCTGAATTGAACAGATGAGACCAATAACCCTTCCACTGCAGACTTATGACAAACCCTGGCAGCAGGCAGGTGCATGAGATGGGCCAGTAGTCTCAACTAAGTAGGAGTCAAGGATCTGGGGACTCAGCTGGTGGTAACCGTAGTGAATGCCAGGATCCCGAAAGAGAAGATCCTGGTCCTCTCTTCCAACTTCTGGAAACACTAGAGTTGAATTTCAGACAGGAATCATGCTGGGCTGGGCACAGCTACTCACCTGGCGTAGTAGGAGGGATTGCTGTAGATGCTGCAAAGAAAGAGGACACATCATCAGTCTCTGTGAACGATGTGCAGAAAGAAGCTTCCCAGGGTCAAGGCAAACAAAAATTCTGAAGGACCCTCCTCACAGGAACAGGAAAGACTTTCTGGGAGTGGTCCTGGGGGAAGAGCTGTAAACTACACTTCAGGGGCAGGATTTCACAAACAACAGTGTTGGAGGATTTGAACTCAAAAGATTTATGCCCTCTCACGTTCGGCTGCTCTACAGGTTTCCTTAAAGAAGGTGCTGAGGTCCATGCCTAAACCTGACGTATGCCAGGATGATGGGTGATGCAGGTTCCTGTCAAGCTATGAGGGAAACCCCTGCCCTTTGGTGAAAACAGGAAGATGATAGAACATTGAAAGGAATGGTTTGTCTAGACAAATTAACAAACAAGACCAGAGGGCAAATATCGTGAGGACCCACCTGAGCAGATGACACTTGCGTCCTCAGAGTGCCTGCAGTTGTGCGAGTTCCAGCCATTGTGGCTGCAGCTCCACAGATAAGACTCGTGCCCGGAGCAGCGCACATCGTCTAGCACAATCGGGCCCGAGCCCTGACCAAAGCGGGCATTTCCTGGGGCCGAGGTGGCCCAGCCACAGCCCAGCTGCCTGCAGACCACGTTGGCATCATTGGTGTCCCAGCTGTCGTCGCACACGGTGCCCCACGAGCCTCTGTACAGGACCTCCACGCGGCCCTGACACCAGTCACTTCCGTTCACCAGCCTCAGGGCCAACCCCGAATCGGTCCCTACCAGGAGACAGGAAAATTGTCTTTCTCTGTGTTCTCGAACGAAGAACTCCTGCATTCTCAGGGCAGGGTAATTCTTTCAGGGCCCAGGTGCCCTGGGTATGATTAAACTTCCCCAGCAACGGGACCCTCCGAAACCTTCTCATCATCATTCCAACTCAAGGGGCCATTTGATGATACCCGTGAGTGTCAATTGACTTAGGAGTATTCCCTGTTGGTTCCCCAAAATTAGGATTTGAATTCTTGAGCCTAGCCCTGCCATGCCATGGGGGAAGGCAGAAACCAGTAGCCTGATCTATGCCACTGAGACTGCCTTGAACACAAGCTTTATACCCAGAGAAACGACCCTGCTGCCCCAAGGTGCTGTCCTAGGTTCTTGTGGCGTTCAGAGTGTCTATCTTCACCCCACTGTGGTATATCACGGACTCTGTTCCAGGCCCCAAAGCTTGTTCTGTAGGGTCCTTTTTTGAGGTTGACATGCTCTGTTCTCTCAAGGCCCAGATATCTACTGAATCTATCAATCCTCATTCATGACAACAGGCAGGAGTACCTGTCACTGCCATGTTGCTCTGCATACTTAGAGCTACCCAGGCCTCTTGGAGACAGAAAGCCAACAAAACTTGGCAGCATTAGGTCTTCTCGTGGGTAGGCCTTTTGGCACTCTTAGCACCATAGCAGACATCATGATTCCTCAGTGTGCCCCGGACCCTGCCTTCTCTACCCATGAGCAGCTCTGGGGCACTGACCATATGTGATACTCAGGCCTTCAAGCTTCTATAAAATGAGGCCCCAACTCTTCACAAAGATGGATAGATGTGATGAGCCCAAGAATAGATGCCCACCATCAGTAGTCATGATGGAAATGCAAATCCTAACAAAAGCAGAAAAGTGCCCCTGCTCATTGTATCATGACAGTAAATGAGACTAAAGAAGAAGTGTTGATGAGGATGCAGAGACAGTAAAATCCTCAAATGCTGCTGGATTTGTGCCCAGAGCAGCCCACATTGTCCAGGAAAATCAGGCCCGAGCCCTGACCAAGGCAGGCATTTCCAGGGGCCAGAGTGGGCCAGTCACAGCCCAGCCACCTGCAGACCACGTTGGCATCATTGGTGTGCCAGCTGTCATTGCACACGGTGCCCCACAAGCCTCTGTACAGGACCCTTCGTGGCACTGACACCGGTCACCTCCGTTCACCAGCCTCGGGGCCGATCCCAAGGGAAACAAATGGGAAAATTTGAATCCCACACCTACTTAAGACCTGCCTGTTAGAGACTCAGTGACTGGGAACCACAAAATGTGCCCACAAGGTCCTTAAGGAGCAATGATTCACCCAGAATGGAGAAAAAAGGGATGGATGGGAAGAAGAGAAACATTCCAACTGGGGTGCCCAAAGACTTAAATGGCTGGATGGTTGATATGGTTTGAACAGCTAGTAGAAAGAAACACAGGTCAGATACAAAGCGCATTGGTGTCACAACAGAATCAAAGGTCAAAGAACATCATGTATATCTCCCCAGAGCAGGCCTCCATGTGCTCCTGAGTAGACATAGCCAGGCCTGCCATAATCTCTCTGTCCTGAGGGAGCCTAACACTTGTCCTACCGCCATTGTCTGTCTTTATGTGGCTGGGGACTGAGGTTCTGGCAGGTTGAATATCACTGCCAGGCTCAAAGAGGCCACCAAGTCATTGCACTGTCTGCATGTGGGAACTGCAAGAATGAGTCTGGACACAGCTGAACATAACTCCAAGTCCACCAGCTCAGGTACAATGCTCTCCCTCTTTGCAAAGCAAAAGTGACTAGTGCTCTAGTGCCCTAGTGCCCTAGTGCAGGAGGTCAGCCTGTGCAAATGGGGTCTAGCTAACTCGTTGGGGGTCATAACTGTGTAATGAGATCAAAGGCAGCCGATTAAAATCATGGGAAGGAATATTCAAGGATAGCCTCAAGTGGCCATTTCAGTTCTTAAGAGTGAAGAAATAGCCATTCCAGGATGGAAAATTTACTTGTAAAGAGTAGATGAGTTGTGTTATTATCCATTTACTGTCTCCCTCCCTTCTCTCAGAGCTTTTGAGATTCCCCTGAGATATAAAAGTCCACATTCGATTCTTTGAAGATTCCCTGTTCGATCTCGAAAAGCAGGGCAAGTAGCTCTCCTTATTGAAACAAAGCTATCCACGGAGCCTGAAGGATAAAAAGGCTGCATGTCTTGAGCGAAAGGCAGGCTGTGTGTGTGTGTGCGTGCATCTTGGGTGCAGTGTATGGTGAGGAAGATCTAAGTAGGTTACATGCACAAGTTCAAGCGGCCTGTGCATTTACAGGCCTCTACTGCAAGGACAGCCTGTCTGGGAATGATAACCTTGTGTCCTTAAGTGGAAACATATGATACCTACCACGACTGGTTGTAGATACAGGGCGCCACCAATCTAGAAAGAAAATGAAGTAATTTTAGGACTTTACTGGATAACTTTTCATTCTGTGCTCATTAGTTGGTAAGGAAAGGTCAATTCTATGCCTTCCTGATGTACGTCTCAGAGTCTGGACAAATTCACTTTACACTGTGAATGGCCCAGATGGCCTGGAGTATGACGCTAGTAGTTCCCAACATACTCAGCACTGACTGTGTGCACCGTGGAGTAGAGAACACTTTGGGGATGACTCTCCCAACAGGAAAGAATTATGGAACACACAAGCACTGGAAGGAGTCCTTTGGGAGCCTATTTATCAAATGCTCCTAATTCTGAATTGAATATTTAGTTTGATCTGAATTGAACAGATGAGACCAATAACCCTTCCACTGCAGACTTATGACAAACCCTGGCAGCAGGCAGGTGCATGAGATGGGCCAGTAGTCTCAACTAAGTAGGAGTCAAGGATCTGGGGACTCAGCTGGTGGTAACCGTAGTGAATGCCAGGATCCCGAAAGAGAAGATCCTGGTCCTCTCTTCCAACTTCTGGAAACACTAGAGTTGAATTTCAGACAGGAATCATGCTGGGCTGGGCACAGCTACTCACCTGGCGTAGTAGGAGGGATTGCTGTAGATGCTGCAAAGAAAGAGGACACATCATCAGTCTCTGTGAACGATGTGCAGAAAGAAGCTTCCCAGGGTCAAGGCAAACAAAAATTCTGAAGGACCCTCCTCACAGGAACAGGAAAGACTTTCTGGGAGTGGTCCTGGGGGAAGAGCTGTAAACTACACCTCAGGGGCAGGATTTCACAAACAACAGTGTTGAAGGATTTGAACTCAAAAGCTTTATGCCCTCTCACGTTCGGCTACTCTACGGGTTTCCTTAAAGAAGGTGCTGAGGTCCATGCCTAAACCTGACGTATGCCAGGATGATGGGTGATGCAGGTTCCTGTCAAGCTATGAGGGAAACCCCTGCCCTTTGGTGAAAACAGGAAGATGATAGAACATTGAAAGGAATGGTTTGTCTAGACAAATTAACAAACAAGACCAGAGGGCAAATATCGTGAGGACCCACCTGAGCAGATGACACTTGCGTCCTCAGAGTGCCTGCAGTTGTGCGAGTTCCAGCCATTGTGGCTGCAGCTCCACAGATAAGACTCGTGCCCGGAGCAGCGCACATCGTCTAGCACAATCGGGCCCGAGCCCTGACCAAAGCGGGCATTTCCTGGGGCCGAGGTGGCCCAGCCACAGCCCAGCTGCCTGCAGACCACGTTGGCATCATTGGTGTCCCAGCTGTCGTCGCACACGGTGCCCCACGAGCCTCTGTACAGGACCTCCACGCGGCCCTGACACCAGTCACTTCCGTTCACCAGCCTCAAGTCCAACCCCGAATCGGTCCCTACCAGGAGACAGGAAAATTGTCTTTCTCTGTGTTCTCGAACGAAGAACTCCTGCATTCTCAGGGCAGGGTAATTCTTTCAGGGCCCAGGTGCCCTGGGTATGATTAAACTTCCCCAGCAACGGGACCCTCCGAAACCTTCTCATCATCATTCCAACTCAAGGGGCCATTTGATGATACCCGTGAGTGTCAATTGACTTAGGAGTATTCCCTGTTGGTTCCCCAAAATTAGGATTTGAATTCTTGAGCCTAGCCCTGCCATGCCATGGGGGAAGGCAGAAACCAGTAGCCTGATCTATGCCACTGAGACTGCCTTGAACACAAGCTTTATACCCAGAGAAACGACCCTGCTGCCCCAAGGTGCTGTCCTAGGTTCTTCTGGCATTCAGAGTGTCTATCTTCACCCCACTGTGGTATATCACGGACTCTGTTCCAGGCCCCAAAGCTTGTTCTGTAGGGTCCTTTTTTGATGTTGACATGCTCCTGTTCTCTCAAGGCCCAGATATCTACTGAATCTATCAATCCTCATTCATGACAACAGGCAGGAGTACCTGTCACTGCCATGTTGCTCTGCATACTTAGAGCTACCCAGGCCTCTTGGAGACAGAAAGCCAACAAAACTTGGCAGCATTAGGTCTTCTCGTGGGTAGGCCTTTTGGCACTCTTAGCACCATAGCAGACATCATGATTCCTCAGTGTGCCCCGGACCCTGCCTTCTCTACCCATGAGCAGCTCTGGGGCACTGACCATATGTGATACTCAGGCCTTCAAGCTTCTATAAAATGAGGCCCCAACTCTTCACAAAGATGGATAGATGTGATGAGCCCAAGAATAGATGCCCACCATCAGTAGTCATGATGGAAATGCAAATCCTAACAAAAGCAGAAAAGTGCCCCTGCTCATTGTATCATGACAGTAAATGAGACTAAAGAAGAAGTGTTGATGAGGATGCAGAGACAGTAAAATCCTCAAATGCTGCTGGATTTGTGCCCAGAGCAGCCCACATTGTCCAGGAAAATCAGGCCCGAGCCCTGACCAAGGCAGGCATTTCCAGGGGCCAGAGTGGGCCAGTCACAGCCCAGCCACCTGCAGACCACGTTGGCATCATTGGTGTGCCAGCTGTCATTGCACACGGTGCCCCACAAGCCTCTGTACAGGACCCTTCGTGGCACTGACACCGGTCACCTCCGTTCACCAGCCTCGGGGCCGATCCCAAGGGAAACAAATGGGAAAATTTGAATCCCACACCTACTTAAGACCTGCCTGTTAGAGACTCAGTGACTGGGAACCACAAAATGTGCCCACAAGGTCCTTAAGGAGCAATGATTCACCCAGAATGGAGAAAAAAGGGATGGATGGGAAGAAGAGAAACATTCCAACTGGGGTGCCCAAAGACTTAAATGGCTGGATGGTTGATATGGTTTGAACAGCTAGTAGAAAGAAACACAGGTCAGATACAAAGCGCATTGGTGTCACAACAGAATCAAAGGTCAAAGAACATCATGTATATCTCCCCAGAGCAGGCCTCCATGTGCTCCTGAGTAGACATAGCCAGGCCTGCCATAATCTCTCTGTCCTGAGGGAGCCTAACACTTGTCCTACCGCCATTGTCTGTCTTTATGTGGCTGGGGACTGAGGTTCTGGCAGGTTGAATATCACTGCCAGGCTCAAAGAGGCCACCAAGTCATTGCACTGTCTGCATGTGGGAACTGCAAGAATGAGTCTGGACACAGCTGAACATAACTCCAAGTCCACCAGCTCAGGTACAATGCTCTCCCTCTTTGCAAAGCAAAAGTGACTAGTGCTCTAGTGCCCTAGTGCCCTAGTGCAGGAGGTCAGCCTGTGCAAATGGGGTCTAGCTAACTCGTTGGGGGTCATAACTGTGTAATGAGATCAAAGGCAGCCGATTAAAATCATGGGAAGGAATATTCAAGGATAGCCTCAAGTGGCCATTTCAGTTCTTAAGAGTGAAGAAATAGCCATTCCAGGATGGAAAATTTACTTGTAAAGAGTAGATGAGTTGTGTTATTATCCATTTACTGTCTCCCTCCCTTCTCTCAGAGCTTTTGAGATTCCCCTGAGATATAAAAGTCCACATTCGATTCTTTGAAGATTCCCTGTTCGATCTCGAAAAGCAGGACAAGTAGCTCTCCTTATTGAAACAAAGCTATCCACGGAGCCTGAAGGATAAAAAGGCTGCATGTCTTGAGCGAAAGGCAGGCTGTGTGTGTGTGTGCGTGCATCTTGGGTGCAGTGTATGGTGAGGCAGATCTGAGTAGGTTACATGCACAAGTTCAAGCGGCCTGTGCATTTGCAGGCCTCTACTGCATGGACAGCCTGTCTGGGGATGATAACCCCGTGTCCTTAAGTGGAAACATATGATACCTACCACGACTGGTTTAGATACCAGGTGCCACCAATTTAGAAAGTAAATGAAGTAATTTTAGGACTTTATTGGATTTCTTTTCATTCTGTGCTCATTAGTTGGTAAGGAAAGGTCAATTCTATGCCTTCCTGATGTACGTCTCAGAGTCTGGACAAATTCACTTTACATTGTGAATGGCCCAGATGGCCTGGAGTTGGTGCTAGTACTTCTCAACATACTCGGCACTGTCTATTTCCACCGTGGGGTAGAGAACACTTTGGGGATGACTCTCCCAACAGGAAAGAATTATGGAACACACAAGCACTGGAAGGAGTCCTGTGGGAGCCTATGTCTCAAATGCTCCCAATTCTGAATTGCATATTTACTTTTTTTTATTAATTTATTTTTTATTTGTGTTCAATTTGCCAACATATAAAATAACACCCTGTGTTCATCCCGTCAGAGCCCACCTCAGTGCCCGTCACTCAGTCTCCCCCATCCCCCACTAACCTCCCCTTCCACCACCCCTAGTTCGTTTCCCACAGTTAGGAGTCTTTCATGTTCTCTCTCCCTTTCTGATATTTCCCACTTATTTTTTCTCCTTTCCCCTTTTTTCCGTTTCACTACTTTCATCTGAATTGAAGAGAGGGGACCAACAGCATTTCCACTGTAAAATCTCTAATCAAAACTGGACAACAGAAGGGGTGGGGGATCCAGATGGGCCTGGAGTTTCAACTAAGTAGGAGTCAAGGTCCTGGGGTCTCAGCTGCTGGTCATGGTAGCAAACACCAGAGTCCCGCACGAGAAGAGAAGAGAAGAGAAGAGTTCTCTTTCAACTTCTAGAAATACAAGAGTTGAATTCCAGACAAGATACATGCTGGGCTGGGCCCAGCTACTCACCTGTCGTAGTAGGAGGGATTGCTGTAGATGCTGCAAAGAAAGAGGACACATCATCAGTCTCTGTGAACGATGTGCAGAAAGAAGCTTCCCAGGGTCAAGACAAACAAAAATTCTGAAGGACCATCCTCACAGGCACAGGAAAGACTTTCTGGGAGTGGTCCTGGGGGAAGAGCTGTAAACTACACCTCAGGGGCAGGATTTCACAAACAACAGTGTTGAAGGATTTGAACTCAAAAGCTTTATGCCCTCTCACGTTCGGCTACTCTACGGGTTTCCTTAAAGAAGGTGCTGAGGTCCATGCCTAAACCTGAGGTACGCCAGGATGATGGGTGATGCAGGTTCCTGTCAAGCTATGAGGGAAACCCCGGCCCTTCGGTGAAAACAGGAAGATGATAGAACATTGAAAGGAATGGTTTGTCTAGACAAATTAACAAAAAAAACCAGAGGGCAAATATCGTGAGGACCCACCTGAGCAGATGACACTTGCGTCCTCAGAGTGCCTGCAGTTGTGCGAGTTCCAGCCATTGTGGCTGCAGCTCCACAGATAAGACTCGTGCCCGGAGCAGCGCACATCGTCTAGCACAATCGGGCCCGAGCCCTGACCAAAGCGGGCATTTCCTGGGGCCGAGGTGGCCCAGCCACAGCCCAGCTGCCTGCAGACCACGTTGGCATCATTGGTGTCCCAGCTGTCGTCGCACACGGTGCCCCACGAGCCTCTGTACAGGACCTCCACGCGGCCCTGACACCGGTCACCTCCGTTCACCAGCCTCAAGTCCAACCCCGAATCGGTCCCTACCAGGAGACAGGAAAATTGTCTTTCTCTGTGTTCTCGAACGAAGAACTCCTGCATTCTCAGGGCAGGGTAATTCTTTCAGGGCCCAGGTGCCCTGGGTATGATTAATGTTCCCCAGCAATGGGATCCTCTGAAACCTTCTCATCATCATTCCAACTCAAGGGGCCACTTGATGCTACCCGTGAGTGTCAATTGACTTAGGAGTATTCCCTGTTGGTCCCCCCAAAATTAGGATTTGAATTCTTGAGCCTAGCCGTGCCATGCCATGGGGGAAGGCAGAAACCAGTAGCCTGATCTATGCCACTGAGACTGCCTTGAACACAAGCTTTATACCCAGAGAAACGACCCTGCTGCCCCAAGGTGCTGTCCTAGGTTCTTCTAGCGTTCAGAGTGTCTATCTTCACCCCACTGTGGTATATCACGGACTCTGTTCCAGGCCCCAAACCTTGTTCTGTAGGATCCTCTTTTGAGGTTGACATGCTCCTGTTCTCTCAAGGCCCAGACATCTACTGAATCTAACAGTCCTGATTATCATGACAACAGGCAGGAGTACCTGTCACTGTCATGTTGCTCTGCATACTTAGAGCTACCCAGGCCTCCTGGAGACAGAAAGCCAACAAAACTTGGCTGCATTAGGTCTTCTTGTGGGTAGGCCTTTTGGCACACTTAGCACCATAGCAGACATCATGATTCCTCAGTGTGCCCCGGACCCTGCCTTCTCTACCCATGAGCAGCTCTGGGGCACTGACCATATGTGATACTCAGGCCTTCAAGCTTCTATAAAATGAGGTCCCAACTCTTCACAAAGATGGATAGATGTGATGAGCCCAAGAATAGATGCCCACCATCAGTAGTCGTGATGGAAATGCAAATCCTAACAAAAGCAGGAAAGTGCCCCTGCTCATTGTATCATGACAGTAAATGAGACAAAAGAAGAAGTGTTGATGAGGATGCAGAGACAGTAAAATCCTCAAATGCTGCTGGACTTGTGCCCAGAGCAGCCCACATTGTCCAGGAAAATCAGGCCCGAGCCCTGACCAAGCCAGGCTTTTCCAGGGGCCAAAGTGGGCCAGTCACAGCCCAGCCACCTGCAGACCACGTTGGCATCATTGGTGTGCCAGCTGTCATTGCACACGGTGCCCCACAAGCCTCTGTACAGGACCTTTCGTGGCACTGACACCGGTCACCTCCGTTCACCAGCCTCGGGGCCGATCCCAAGGGAAACAAATGGGAAAATTTGAAACCCACACCTACTTAAGACCTGCCTGTTAGAGACTCAGTGACTGGGAACCACATAATGTGCCCACAAGGTCCTTAAGGAGCAATGATTCACCCCGAATGGAGAAAAAAGGGATGGATGGGAAGAAGAGAAACATTCCAAGTGGGGTGCCCAAAGACTTAATTGGCCACCCATGGTGGTCACTTGATGGTTGATATGGTTTGAACAGCTAGTAGAAAGAAACACAGGTCAGATACAAAGCGCATTGGTGTCACAACAGAATCAAAGGTCAAAGAACATCATGTATATCTCCCCAGAGCAGGCCTCCATGTGCTCTTGAGTAGACAGAGCCAGGCCTGCCATAATCTCTCTGTCCTGAGGGAGCCTAACACTTGTCCTACCGCCATTGTCTGTCTTTATGTGGCTGGGGACTGAGGTTCTGGCAGGTTGAATATCACTGCCAGGCTCAAAGAGGCCACCAAGTCATTGCACTGTCTGCATGTGGGAACTGCAAGAATGAGTCTGGACACAGCTGAACATAACTCCAAGTCCACCAGCTCAGGTACAATGCTCTCCCTCTTTGCAAAGCAAAAGTGACTAGTGCTCTAGTGCCCTAGTGCCCTAGTGCAGGAGGTCAGCCTGTGCAAATGGGGTCTAGCTAACTCGTTGGGGGTCATAACTGTGTAATGAGATCAAAGGCAGCCGATTAAAATCATGGGAAGGAATATTCAAGGATAGCCTCAAGTGGCCATTTCAGTTCTTAAGAGTGAAGAAATAGCCATTCCAGGATGGAAAATTTACTTGTAAAGAGTAGATGAGTTGTGTTATTATCCATTTACTGTCTCCCTCCCTTCTCTCAGAGCTTTTGAGATTCCCCTGAGATATAAAAGTCCACATTCGATTCTTTGAAGATTCCCTGTTCGATCTCGAAAAGCAGGACAAGTAGCTCTCCTTATTGAAACAAAGCTATCCACGGAGCCTGAAGGATAAAAAGGCTGCATGTCTTGAGCGAAAGGCAGGCTGTGTGTGTGTGTGCGTGCATCTTGGGTGCAGTGTATGGTGAGGCAGATCTGAGTAGGTTACATGCACAAGTTCAAGCGGCCTGTGCATTTACAGGCCTCTACTGCATGGACAGCCTCTCTGGGGTTGATAACCCTGTGTTCTTAAGTGGAAACATATGATACCTACCACGACTGGTTTAGATACCAGGCGCCACCAATGTAGAAAGAAAATGAAGTAATTTTAGGACTTTATTGGATAACTTTTCATTCTGTGCTCATTAGTTGGTAAGGAAAGGTCAATTCTATGCCTTCCTGATGTACGTCTCAGAGTCTGGACAAATTCACTTTACACTGTGAATGGCCCAGATGGCCTGGAGTTGGTGCTAGTACTTCTCAACATACTCGGCACTGTCTATTTCCACCGTGGGGTAGAGAACACTTTGGGGATGACTCTCCCAACAGGAAAGAATTATGGAACACACAAGCACTGGAAGGAGTCCTGTGGGAGCCTATGTCTCAAATGCTCCCAATTCTGAATTGCATATTTACTTTCTTTTTTTTATAAATTTATTTTTTATTGGTGTTCAATTTGCCAACATATAGAATAACACCCTGTGTTCATCCCGTCAGAGCCCACCTCAGTGCCCGTCACTCAGTCTCCCCCATCCCCCACTAACCTCCCCTTCCACCACCCCTAGTTCGTTTCCCACAGTTAGGAGTCTTTCATGTTCTCTCTCCCTTTCTGATATTTCCCACTTATTTTTTCTCCTTTCCCCTTTTTTCCGTTTCACTACTTTCATCTGAATTGAAGAGAGGGGACCAACAGCATTTCCACTGTAAAATCTCTAATCAAAACCGGACAACAGAAGGGGTGGGGGATCCAGATGGGCCTGGAGTTTCAACTAAGTAGGAGTCAAGGTCCTGGGGACTCAGCTGCTGGTCATGGTAGCAAACACCAGAGTCCCGCACGAGAAGAGAAGAGAAGAGAAGAGTTCTCTTTCAACTTCTAGAAATACAAGAGTTGAATTCCAGACAAGATACATGCTGGGCTGGGCCCAGCTACTCACCTGTCGTAGTAGGAGGGATTGCTGTAGATGCTGCAAAGAAAGAGGACACATCATCAGTCTCTGTGAACGATGTGCAGAAAGAAGCTTCCCAGGGTCAAGACAAACAAAAATTCTGAAGGACCATCCTCACAGGCACAGGAAAGACTTTCTGGGAGTGGTCCTGGGGGAAGAGCTGTAAACTACACCTCAGGGGCAGGATTTCACAAACAACAGTGTTGAAGGATTTGAACTCAAAAGCTTTATGCCCTCTCATGTTCGGCTACTCTACGGGTTTCCTTAAAGAAGGTGCTGAGGTCCATGCCTAAACCTGAGGTACGCCAGGATGATGGGTGATGCAGGTTCCTGTCAAGCTATGAGGGAAACCCCGGCCCTTCGGTGAAAACAGGAAGATGATAGAACATTGAAAGGAATAGTTTGTCTAGACAAATTAACAAACAAAACCAGAGGGCAAATATCGTGAGGACCCACCTGAGCAGATGACACTTGCGTCCTCAGAGTGCCTGCAGTTGTGCGAGTTCCAGCCATTGTGGGGGCAGCTCCACAGATAAGACTCGTGCCCGGAGCAGCGCACATCGTCTAGCACAATCGGGCCCGAGCCCTGACCAAAGCGGGCATTTCCTGGGGCCGAGGTGGCCCAGCCACAGCCCAGCTGCCTGCAGACCACGTTGGCATCATTGGTGTCCCAGCTGTCGTCGCACACGGTGCCCCACGAGCCTCTGTACAGGACCTCCACGCGGCCCTGACACGGGTCACCTCCGTTCACCAGCCTCAGGGCCAACCCCGAATCGGTCCCTACCAGGAGACAGGAAAATTGTCTTTCTCTGTGTTTTCGAACGAAGAACTCCTGCATTCTCAGGGCAGGATAATTTCTTCCAGGGCCTTTGCTCTGGGTTCAATTAATGTTTCCTAGCTACAGGACTCTCTGAGTCTTGCTCATCATCATCATCCTCAAGGGGGTATTTGATGGTATCTTTTAGTTCAGCTGACTTATGCGTGTTACTATGTGTTGCACAAAATATCAGGAGATGAAATCCTGAGACTGGTCCCACAATGCAGGGGAGAATATAAGAAGCCAGTAGTCTGATACAGTAGCACAGAGACCACCCTGAACACCATCTTCAGTCCCAGTAATTATTCTGGTCACCAAGAAGGAACTGTCCTAGGCCCTAGTGATCAGAGAGTCTACCTTCACTGGATGGTCCTATATTACAGACCTGAGGACTAGGCTTATTCTTAAGAATTCTTTTCTGCTGACCACTTGTGCTGTTCTCTCAAGCCCCAAGCTTATACTAAAACTTAACAATCCTCCAATTATCAAGGAGATGGGCAATAGTAACTGTCACTCACTCAGTAGTGCACACATAGCGCTGCCTAGAACTCTAGGGAGCAGAGTATTAATAAAACATGCTAGCAATTGGCCTCCTAGCAGGAGGGCATTTGCGAATTTCAGGAGACCACACATCACATTTCTTCAGTGTCCTTCTCCCAAGGACCCTGCCTTCTCTCCACCATGAGCTGGGCACGGGCACTGACCCTGGTGTTGTCCTCAGGATAGTAGGGATATATAAAATGAGGACTCCGCTCTATAAAGAAGAAAGACACATGCAGCAACCAAGTGAACACACCTCCACCATTAGTATCCCTCCAGGAAATGAAAATCCTAAATACAGTGAAAAAGGACCTCCCACCCACTAGATGACTACAATAGAAGAGACTGACGAAGATGTGGAGAAACCAGAACCCTCCAATGCTGCCAAACTAAATTGGTACAGCTGCTATGCTAAACTCTTCCGTGTTTTCCCCAAACTCAAAGATAAAATCATCATATGAACTTCAATTCCACTCCTAATATCCACCCAGAGGAGTTGGAAGAAGGTGTGTGACAAAAATCATGGGCACAGAAGTTCCCAGGAAGACTATTCAAAATAGTCAGTGGCAGAAACTCTCCGCTTAATCTGTCCATGAAGAGATTAATGGGATCATAATGTGGGTGGGGATGCATGCTGCCAAAGTTGACACACGTCTTCATGATTAATCCTGAGAGAATCTGCTGGTGGAAAGAAGGCAGTCACAAAAAGCCACATGTGGCTACCTCCATTCATAGGAAATGTCCAGAATATGCAAATCCAGACACGGAAGGCAACCAGATGAGAGCCTGGAGGGTAGGAATTGTGACTAGTTCAGGGCATGGGATATTGATTAAAGTGATAAGAAATTCTGGAACCAATTAATTGATGCTTGTAGGAGTCATTAGACTAAAAGGGGCTCATCTGCACAGTAAAATAGCAAATGTTATATTAGGAGAAATTACACATCCTGATAGGGCACTAAAGTATTAATTATTTGGACTTTTCTCCAGTGCTGGGGCTCTGAATCCATGATCCCAGTTTCACTGGAGGGTGCAATTAGCATGAGTGGAAACACCTAGTATCTCCAAGGAAGACAAGCAACCAGGCATAGGGACTATTCAGGCCCTATCAGTTCCTCTATGCACATTACACTGTCAACTCAGACCCTGACACTGGACCAGAGACCAGCTCAAGAGCAGAGGCCAACATGGGCTGACACGCATAGAGGGACAAGGCTCTGTGTGGGGGCTGTGGAAGCCAGGGCTGCAATCAGGGGGTATTAGGAAAGGGCCAAGTTCCAAAAAGGGAGTGTTCTCTTCATGTCTCTAATCTCTTGCACTGATTTTGTTGTAGACAAACTATCCTTTCTATGAAACACACCAGTCAAAACCTCTTTCCATGAGGTTCAAGTAGGGCCTAGAGCCAACTCCTCTCCATTTCCCTGGGGGAATATGGGAGTGGGCATATGGACCCTGACCAGCCCATCAGACACAGGAACATGATTCTATTGAAGCAGGTATTGCCAAACACACTACCTAACGTCCTTACAGGAAATGTCACCCAGCCCTCTGAGCACAAGCAGAGTCCTTCTCCTATGACACAGGGGCTTGGGGTTAGCAACTGCCTCTCACATGCAGAAAGCAAAGCAAGGATGAAGCCCGTCCATATAAGAAACAGGAGAGAGAAGAAAATCTGGCGGCAGATGGTCATGAAACATCCACACCTGAAGTTCCTGAAGGTACACCTGCTCTAAACATCTTAAATGTGAGTGAGTTTGATATAATAGTTCTGTGCTAGGATAAGAGAAGCCGAGCTGGTTTCCTCTATCACTTACTGATATATCTCCAAACTGGAGGTTGACTGATAATAATCACGTTTGGATAAAGGACCCCCCTCCCATGGGACCAGGGGGTGAAGTCAGATGCCAAACTCAGGATTTCAGAATTTCACTGAAACCAGTTGAGTACTGGGAGAATTTGCATACTTTTCAGGATCTGCAGGATGCTTGCCCTAGGGAGTTGTATCCCACCAATCTTCAGAGAAACACAAAGCAGGACTAGAAAGGATTAGAAACTTCTGTATCCCAGTGTTCCTGGAGGTATATCTGATCTAAATATCTTACATGTGAGAGCCATTGAGTTGAGATCTCTGCTAGCTTTAGAGGAGAGGAACTAGGTTCTTGTCAAATGCAAACAAAAACGTCATGACTGATATCCTCAAACTGGTAGGAGACTGGAAAAATAACTCTTGTGGCTAAAGGGAACCCCCACACACACCGGATGGGGAGGTGAGGTCAGACACTACACTCAACAATCTGGAGTTTCATCCAGTCTGGTTGACTATGGGGTGAATCTGGATACTTAGGCAGGCACTGAGGATGCTGACCATAGGTAGTTGTATACCGCCGATATGCAGAGAAACACAAAGCAGGGTTAGAATGGTTGGAAATAGAACCAAGCTTGGCTCAAGTGATGAGTCAGTGGGACAGGGACAGTGGCGTCTGGTGAGTTCTGCTAGCTAGAGGGGAAAGGGGGAATCATGAGAGTTTTTGGCAGGCATCATGACACTTGCACACCTGCATCCTGCCCCCTTCCACCTGGGGGGGGCTGTGCAAGCCTCCTGCTCTGCTACCTTTTTTGGTGCAAAGACCTTGTGTACATCAGCCAGATCCCTCCACATCTCTCAGCCTGGCATGTCCCTTGTCCCTTAGAAACCTTTGCCACTTGTCTATCTTGACTCATAGACGACGCAGGAGATCCTCACAGGAATCTTGGAAGAAAGAGTCAGGAGCATTCAGGGTCAACATGGAGCCAGCTGTATATCCCTGTATCTAGAGCACCTTCTTCTCATAGTGGTCTCAAATCCCTGGGGCTCTGTCCCTACCACTTTGGATATACACATTGGATTGTGATAAATCTGAGAGTGATGCAAATGCTGAACATTGGGAAGGATCCAGACTGCTCTGACGGCTCTCTAAGAAGACATCAGTGCTCCCCATGGCTCATTCTCCCCCTCTGCTGTCTCCCCAGACAGCATTTCAATTGAAATTCTTGGCACCCATGGCCAGTTCTCTGAATTGGTAGGCAACAGTCTCTTGGGATTCTGGGAAAGGATTAGATGAAAACTCATGGATGATGGGAAAATAGGGCCAAATGAATCCCATGTCTACATAAGAGCTGCCTGTAGAGACTCAGTGACTGGGAACCACAAAATGTGCCCACAAGGCCCTCAAGGAGCAATGGTTCACCCAAAATGGAGAGGAAAGGGACGGATGCGAAAGGAGAAAAGAAACATTCCAAATACGGTGGCCAAAGACCTACCTGGCTGGATGGTTGATTCGGTTGGAGTAGCTATGAGAAAGAAACACAAGTCAGACACAAAGCACATGGGTGTTGCAACGGAATCAAAGATCAAAGAACATCATCCTATCTATCCGTCCTGAGATCAAGCCTCCATGTGGTCCTGAGTAGACAGAGCCATGGCCTGCCATAACCTCTCAGTCCTGTGGGAGCCTAATCCTATGTCCTACCGCCATTGTCTGCCTCAATGTGGCTGAGGACTGAGGATCTAGCAGGTTGAATATCACTGCCAGGCTCAAAACAGGCCACCAACGTCATTGCACTAGCTCCATGTGGGAACAGCAAGAATGAGTTTGGACACAGCCTGAAATAGCTCAGAGTCCACCAGCTCCGGGGCAATGGTCTCACTCTTTACAGGTAGTTTGGTCCTGGTAGGGGGTCAGGCTCAGCAACAGGGAACCAGCTAACTAGTTGGGGGTCTAGCTCTGTAATGAGATCAAAGGCAGCCAATTAAGTTGATGGGAAGAAAACATTCAAGGACATCCACAAGTGGCCATTTCAGTTCTTAGGCGTGAAGGAAAGCTGTTGAGCAATAGCCATTCCAGGGTGGAAAATGTACTTGTAAAGAGTTGATTAGTTGTGAAATTATCCATTTACTGTCTGCCTCCCTTCTCTCAGAACTTTTGTGGTAACCCAAGTAATATCTTCGATTTCTTTAAAAGAAGGGGAAGTAGATCTCCTTATTGAAACAAAAGTTACCCACGAGGCAGGAAGGATAAAAAGGCTCCATGTCTCGAGGGAGAGGCAGCCTGTGTGTGTGCGTATATCTTGGGGGCAGTGTATGGCGGGCCAGGTCTGTGTAGCTTATAACGCACAAGGTCAAGCGGCCTGTGCATTTACAGGCCTCTACTCCATGGACAGCCTATCTGGGGATGATAACCCCGTGTCCTTAGACGGAGACATATGATACCTACCATGAGTGGTTGTAGATGAAGGGTGCCACCAATCTAAAAAGAAAATGAAGTAATTTCAGGACTTTAGTGGAAAATTTTTCACTCTGTGCTCATTAGTTTGGTAAGGAAAGTTCAATTCTATCTTTTCCTGATGAACTTCTCAGAGTCTGGGCAATTCCACTTTACGCTGTGGATGGGCCAGATGGCCTGGAGTATGGCGCTAGTACTTCCCAGCATACTCGGCACTGAGTGGAATTTCCACCGTGTGGTAGAAAACACTTTAAGGATGCCTCTCTCAACATGAAGGAATTCAGGAACACACAAGCACTGGTAGGAGTTCTGTTGGTGTGTATTTCTCAGACGACCCCAATTCTGACTTGAACATTTACTTTATCTGGTATGAACAGAGGGGATCAAAAGCTCTTCCGCTACAGACTTATGAGTAAACCCTCAGAGCAGAGAGGGGCAGAGGATACAGATGGGCCAGTTGTCTCATCTTGGGAGCCAACACCCTAGGGACTTAGCTGCTGGTCACTGTAGCAAGTACCAGAGTCCTCCAAGGGAAGAGCCTCGTCCCCCCTTCCAACTTCTAGAAACATGAGAGTCAAATATCAGACATGATTCATGCTGGGCTGGGTACAGCTACTCACCTGTCGTATTGGGAGGGTTTCCAGTAGATTCTGCAAAGTAAGAGGACACATCATCAGTCTCTGTGAATGATGTGCAGAAAGAAGCCTCTCAGGCTTCAGACAAACAGAAGTGCTGAGGGACTGTCCCCGCTAGAACTAAGAAAGACTTGCTGGGAGTGGTCCTGAGGAGTAGAGCTGGTAAATACCCTCAGGGGCAGGATCCCACAAGGAACAGTGTTTCAGGAATCTGGTCTCTAAACCATTATGCCCATTCAAACAGGACTCCTCCACCCGCACTTTAAAGAAGGTGCTATGATCCACCTGAAAAACTGATGTACGTCAGGATGATGGGTGATGCAGCTCCCTCTCAAGCTATGGGAGAAAGCCTTGCCCTTCTATGACACTCAGGAATATGAAACAACAGTGAAAGAAATGAGTTTTATCTAGAAAAAATAACAAACAGAAACAGAGGGCCAGCATTGTAAGGACCCACCTGAACAGATGACACTTGCGTCCTCATAGTGCCTGCAGTTGTGTGAATTCCAGCCACTGTGGCTACAGCTCCACAGGTAGGACTCATACCCAGAACAGCTCACGTCGTCCAGCACAATCGGGCCAGATCCCTGACCAAAGTGGGCATTGTGTGGGGCCGAGGTGGCCCAGCCACAGCCCAGCTGCCTGCAGACCACGTTGGCATCATTCGTGTCCCAGCCGTCATCACACACGGTGCCCCATGAGCCTCTGTACAGGACCTCCACGCGGCCCTGACACCGGTCACCTCCATTCACCAGCCTCAGGGCCAACCCCGAATCAGTCTCTAGCGGGAGACAGGAAAATTTTCTGGTTTTGAAGGAAGAACTCCTGTACTCTGATTGTAAGATAATTCCTTTCAGGGGACACAAGTTCTGGTTTCAATTAATGTTCCCCAGCAACAGGGGTCTCAGAATCTTGCTCCTCCTCATCATCCTTAAGGGGCTACTTGATGTTACCCTCGAGTGTCAGCTGATGTATGCATGTAACAACAGATTGCACACAATATCAGGATTTGAAATCCTAAGGCTGGTCCCACAATGCAAGGGAGAATATGAGGAGCCGGTAGTCTGACGTGGACCATTGACACCACACAGAACATGTGCTTCAGTCCCAAAGATCCATCCAGCCTCCAAGAAGGAGCTGTCCTAGGTCCTAGTGTTCAGAGAGTCTACTTTCACCCAACGGTCCTAATCACAGACCCTTCTCCCCAGCCCAAGGCTTGTTCTGAAGGATCCCTTTCTGCTGACCACTTGATCCTGTTCTCTCAAGCCCCATGCTTGTACTGCATCTTAACAATCCTCTGATTATCAAGAAGATGGGCAAGAGTAACTATCACTCATCTTAGCTGTGTACATAGTGCAGCCTAGGACTCTGGAGGCAGAAAAGTAACAAAACATGGTAGCATTAGGCCTCCTTGCAAAATGGGCATTTTCCAAGTTAAGCGGGAGACCACACATCACGTTTCCTCAGTCTCCAATGTATCCTGCCTTCTTTCTGCCATGAGCTAGACACTGGCACTGACAGTAGTCTGGTCCTAGGGCCTCAAGGGTCTATAAAGTGAGGACTCTGCTCTACAAAGAAGAGAGACACGTGCATCAACCATGTGAACACATCCCCACCATCAGTATCCTTGCAGGAGATAAAAATCCTACGCATAGTGAGAAAGTACCTCCTGCCTACAAGATGGCTAAAATAAAAGAGACAGAAGAAGTGTTGGTGAGGATGTGGAGAAACCAGAGCTCTCCAATGCCACCTAGGGAAACCTGAATTGGTACAGCTGCTATGCTAAACATTTCTTTGTTTCCTCAAAACGGAAATATATAATCATCATGTGACTCGCATTTTCGCTCCTAGATATTCACCCGAGGAGCTGGAAATAGGTGTTTGACAAAATCATGTGCACAGAAGGTCCGGGAAGATGATTCAAGATAGTCAGGGGTGGAAACACTCCACTTCATCTGTCCATCAACAGATGAATGGGATCATAATATGGGTGGGGATACATGTTGCCAAAGTTTACACACTTCTTTGTGGTGAGTTCTGAGAAAAATCTGCTGGCTGAAAGAAGCCAGTCACAAAAGGCAACATGATGGCTACCTCCATTTGTAGGAAATGTTCAGAAAGTGCAAATCCAGACAAAGAAGGCAACCAGGTGAGAGCTGGAGGAACACAGGTATGGGTTGGACTAGTTCAGGGCATGGGATATTCATTAAGGCGATAAGAAACTCTGGAACTAAATAATTGATGCTTGTAGTAATCATTAGACTAAAAGGTCTCAACTGCACAGTAAATTGGTACATTTTATATTTAGAGTAATCACAGACCCTGAAAGGGCAGAAAAGCATTAATTTTTGTTCTTTTCTCCAGTGCTGGGGCACTGAATCCATGATCCCAGTCTCATTGGAGGGTGTACTTAGCATGAGCTGAGATTCCTACAGTCTACAAGGAAGACAAGCAACCAGGCATGTGGGACTATCCAGACCCTCTCAGTTCTTCCACCCATACTGCACTGTCAACTCAGACCCTGACACTGGGCCAGAGGCCAGCTCAAGAGCAGAGGCCAACATAGGCTGACACACCTATTGAGAGGGAGGGCTCTGTGTGGGGGCTGTGGAAGCCAGGGCTGCACTCAGCAGAGAGTACTTGGGAGAGGGCCAAGCTCAACAGAGAGGGCAGTGTTCTCTTCATGTCTCAAATCTTTTACACTGATTTTGTGGTAGACAAACTATCCTTTCTATGAAACACACCAGTCAAAACCTCTTTCCATGAGGTTCCAGTAGGGCCTAGAGCCAACTCCTCTCCATTACCCTAGGGTAATATGAAGGTGAGCATATGGACCCCGACCAGCCCATCAGACACAGGAACATGGTTCTAGCAGTTATTGACAAACAGGCAACCTAGATTCTTTCCAGGAAATGCCAGTCAGAGATCAGGGCACAAGTAGAGTCCTTCTCTCATGACACAGGGGCTTGGGGTTGGCAACTGCCTCTCACATGCAGAAAGCAAAGCTAGGGTGAAGCCCGTCCATATAAGAAACAGGAGAGAGAAGAAAATCTGGCGGCAGATGGTCTGAAACATCCACACCTGAAGTTCCTGAAGGTACACCTGCTCTAAACATCTTAAATGTGAGTGAGTTTGATATAATAGTTCTGTGCTAGGATAAGAGAAGCCGAGCTGGTTTCCTCTATCACTTACTGATATATCTCCAAACTGGAGGTTGACTGATAATAATCACGTTTGGATAAAGGACCCCCCTCCCATGGGACCAGGGGGTGAGGTCAGATGCCAAACTCAGGATTTCAGAATTTCACTGAAACCAGTTGAGTACTGGGAGAATTTGCATACTTTTCAGGATCTGCAGGATGCTTGCCCTAGGGAGTTGTATCCCACCAATCTTCAGAGAAACACAAAGCAGGACGAGAAAGGATTAGAAACTTCTGTATCCCAGTGTTCCTGGAGGTATATCTGATCTAAATATCTTACATGTGAGAGCCATTGAGTTGAGATCTCTGCTAGCTTTAGAGGAGCTGAACTGGGTTCTTGTCAAATGCAAACAAAAACGTCATGACTGACATATCCCCAAACTGGTAGGAGACTGGAAAAATAACTCTTGTGGCTAAAGGGAACCCTCCCACACACCGGATGGGGAGGTGAGGTCAGACACTACACTCAACAATCTGGAGTTTCATCCAGTCTGGTTGACTATGGGGTGAATCTGGATACTTAGGCAGGCACTGAGGATGCTGACCATAGGTAGTTGTATACCACCGATATGCAGAGAAACACAAAGCAGGGTTAGAATGGTTGGAAATAGAACCAAGCTTGGCTCAAGTGATGAGTCAGTGGGACAGGGACAGTGGCGTCTGGTGAGTTCTGCTAGCTAGAGGGGAAAGGGGGAATCATGAGAGTTTTTGGCAGGCATCATGACACTTGCACACCTGCATCCTGCCCCCTTCCACCTGGGGGGGGCTGTGCAAGCCTCCTGCTCTGCTACCTTTTTTGGTGCAAAGACCTTGTGTACATCAGCCAGATCCCTCCACATCTCTCAGCCTGGCATGTCCCTTGTCCCTTAGAAACCTTTGCCACTTGTCTATCTTGACTCATAGACGACGCAGGAGATCCTCACAGGAATCTTGGAAGAAAGAGTCAGGAGCATTCAGGGTCAACATGGAGCCAGCTGTATATCCCTGTATCTAGAGCACCTTCTTCTCATAGTGGTCTCAAATCCCTGGGGCTCTGTCCCTACCACCTTGGATATACACATTGGATTGTGATAAATCTGAGAGTGATGCAAATGCTGAACATTGGGAAGGATCCAGACTGCTCTGACGGCTCTCTAAGAAGACATCAGTGCTCCCCATGGCTCATTCTCCCCATCTGCTGTCTCCCCAGACAGCATTTCAATTGAAATTCTTGGCACCCATGGCTAGTTCTCTGAATTGGTAGGCAACAGTCTCTTGGGATTCTGGGAAAGGATTAGATGAAAACTCATGGATGATGGGAAAATAGGGCCAAATGAATCCCATGTCTACATAAGAGCTGCCTGTAGAGACTCAGTGACTGGGAACCACAAAATGTGCCCACAAGGCCCTCAAGGAGCAATGGTTCACCCAAAATGGAGAGGAAAGGGACGGATGCGAAAGGAGAAAAGAAACATTCCAAATACGGTGGCCAAAGACCTACCTGGCTGGATGGTTGATTCGGTTGGAGTAGCTATGAGAAAGAAACACAAGTCAGACACAAAGCACATGGGTGTTGCAACGGAATCAAAGATCAAAGAACATCATCCTATCTATCCGTCCTGAGATCAAGCCTCCATGTGGTCCTGAGTAGACAGAGCCATGGCCTGCCATAACCTCTCAGTCCTGTGGGAGCCTAATCCTATGTCCTACCGCCATTGTCTGCCTCAATGTGGCTGAGGACTGAGGATCTAGCAGGTTGAATATCACTGCCAGGCTCAAAACAGGCCACCAACGTCATTGCACTAGCTCCATGTGGGAACAGCAAGAATGAGTTTGGACACAGCCTGAAATAGCTCAGAGTCCACCAGCTCCGGGGCAATGGTCTCACTCTTTACAGGTAGTTTGGTCCTGGTAGGGGGTCAGGCTCAGCAACAGGGAACCAGCTAACTAGTTGGGGGTCTAGCTCTGTAATGAGATCAAAGGCAGCCAATTAAGTTGATGGGAAGAAAACATTCAAGGACATCCACAAGTGGCCATTTCAGTTCTTAGGCGTGAAGGAAAGCTGTTGAGCAATAGCCATTCCAGGGTGGAAAATGTACTTGTAAAGAGTTGATTAGTTGTGAAATTATCCATTTACTGTCTGCCTCCCTTCTCTCAGAACTTTTGTGGTAACCCAAGTAATATCTTCGATTTCTTTAAAAGAAGGGGAAGTAGATCTCCTTATTGAAACAAAATATCTCTTGTGGCTAAAGGGAACCCCCCGACACTGGATTGGGAGGTGAGGTCAGACACTAATCTCAACATCTGAATTTCATCCAGTCTGGTTGACTATGGGGAGATTTGGATGCTTAAGCCAGCACTGAGGATGCTTACCATAAGTAGTTGTATACCACCAATCTGCTGAGAAAATTAAAATAGGATTAGAATGGATTGAAATAGAACAAACGTGTCTCAAGTAAAGAGTACATGGGACAGGGACAGTGGGGTTGGGGAGTTCTGCTAGCTGAGAGAAAAAAGGGGCATTGTGATCATTTTTCACAAGGTCATGACAGTTGCACATCTGCATCCTGCCACTTTCCTCCTGGGTGTGCTGTGCAAGTCGCCTGCTCTGCTAACTTATGTGTGACAAAGCATGGCCTACATCAATCAGGTCCCTCCACATCTCTCAGCCTGGCGAGTTTTTTTTTTTTTTTTGTCCCTTAGAAAACCCTTGCCACTTGTCTATCTTCACTCATGGACAACTGAGGGAATTCCCATATGAAGCCTGGAAGAAAGAGTCAGGGTCATCGAGGGTCAACCTGGAGCCAACTAGGTAGCCCTGTACCCAGAACACATCCATCACTCCCACCCCTGGACTCTGTCCACCACTATGGATATATACATTGGATGCTGATGAATCTGAGGATGTTGTAAGCACTGAGCTGTGGACATAAGCGGTCATCAGCTTCCATTCTCACACTCAACTTGTCAGCCCAAGCTGCATTCAGCTGAAATTCAAGGCACCCATGGCCAGGTATCTGAACCTGTGGTCAGCTCGCTCCTGCAACTATGAAAGGACCAGGTGAAAACTCATGGACTGATGGAAAAATGGGACAACATGAGGGCCATGTCTACTTAAGAGCAGCCTGTTGGAGACTCAGTGAGTGGGTGGGACACAAAATGTGCCCATAAGTTCTCAAAAGAGCAGTAGTTTCCCCACAAATGGGAAGAAGAGGGATGGATGGGATAGGCAAAAAGGGACATTCCAAGTAGGGTCACCAAAGACTCACCTGGCTGGGGTGTGGATTGAGAGACAGCAGCTGTGAAAAAGAAAGAAACACGAGTCAGATACAAAGCACACTTCTGTTCCAACTGGAACAGTGGTCAAGGAAATTCATCCCCTACCTACTGAAATCAAGCCTCCATGAGCTCCTGAATACACAGAGCCATGGCCTGCCATCATCTCTCAGTCCTGTGGGAGCCCCACCCTATGTCCTGCCTTGGTGGGCCTGAATGCTGACATTCAGGAGGTGGAATGTCACTGCCAGGTCAGGACAGGCCATCAAAGCCATTTTGCTATTAGCAAGTGGGAACAGCAAGAATGAATCTGGGCAGTTAGCCTATTGAGACCCCCATTCCACCAGTCAGGTGCAATGCTCCCAGTTTTTACAGGCTTTTTTAGGATTACTGTAGAAGGTCAACTTGGTCCCCATAGTACTATGTATTTCTTTGTCATTCCATGTTCTAGTGAGCTGCCGTTTACTGCACCTTCCCCACTTCCCAGTGCTCTTCATTGCCTTCAGAATTGGCAGTTGAAACTGCAAACCTGTTCTCTGAGTTGGCTTTAAGGGGGACCCAGAATAACAAACCATGGAGTGAAGGTAGTTCAGTTTACAACCAAATTCCCAAAACCTGTGCCTTGAGAAGTAACGCCCTGGGAAATGGGATGTAGACTGAGCAGATGATCTTACTGACAGAAAGGGCACATTGCCTCTGCCCACTGCATGACGGATGGTCTTCCTCACCTCCTGTGCCATTGAGGCTCCAAAGCAATACAGGTCCACACGGGAAGGAATTGCCTCTAATGTCCCATTACAGGGAACCAGTTGTCCCCAGGAAAGCTGGCAAGGCACAGCATATCCGGGAGAGAGTCATGGGGGCACCAGTATAATTATCAGATGGAAAGATCACTAAGAATGGGGACCTGGGATTTTTGAGGTTCACCTGAGCAGATGACACCTGCATCTTCTGAGTGTCCACAGTTGTGTGAGTTCCAGCCATTGTGGGGGCAGCTCCACAGGGAGGACTCGTGCCCAGAGCAGCGCACATTGTCCAGCACAATCGGGCCTGAGCCCTGACCAAAGCGGGCATAACCTGGGGCCGAGGTGGCCCAGCCACAGCCCAGCTGCCTGCAGACCACGTTGGCATCACTGGTGTCCCAGTCGTCATCACACACGGTGCCCCACGAGCCTCCATACAGGACCTCCACGCGGCCCTGACACCGGTCACCTCCATTCACCAGCCTCAGGGCCAAACCTGATTCGGTCCCTGGCAGAAGACAGGAAAACAGTCTTTCTCTGTGTTCTTGAAGGAAGAACTCCTGCACTCTGAGTACTGGACCATTCCTTCAGGGGGTGCATGCTGTGGGTTCAGTTAATGTTCCCCAGCAACAGGACTCTCCCAAACCCCATCATCCTCAATCCACTCAAGTGCCCGTTTGATGCTACCCTTGAATGTCAGTTGACTAACACATGTTCACTGATGGTTGTCCACAACGTCAGGATTTCAATTGTTGACCCTGACCCCCCATATACAAGGGGAAAGTAGAAGCCCGCATCCTCACATAGGACCACTGGGACCACCCTGAACACTTGCTTCAGGCCCAGAGATCCAACACAGCAGCCACTAAGGTGCTGTCCTACATCGTAGTGTTCAGAGAGTCTACCTTCACCCCACTGTCCTATATCAGGGAGGCTCCTCCTGGACCCAAAGCTTGGGCTGAAGGATCTTTTTCCGATGATCATTTGCTCTTGTTCTCTCCAGCCCCAGGCTTGTACTGAATCTTAAACAATCCTCTGATAATCGTGACAATGGGTAGTAGTAACTGTCACTGAATTGGAGCTGTGCATACTTAGAGCTGTGGTGGCCTCTGGGTGGCAGAAAAGAAACAAAACGTAGTAGCCTTAGGCCTCCTTGCAGGAAGGTCACTTGCCACATGCAGTACTAGATGAGACAGCATGATTCCTCAGTCTCCCTTGGACCCTGCCTTCACTACCCAAAGAGCTGGCCCCACACACTGACCATACCCGGTCCTCAGACCTTCAGGTGTCTAAAAGGTGGGGGCTCTGCTCTTTGAAGAAGAAGGACACGTGCAGCAAGCTCATGAACACACCCCCACCATCACTAGCCTGCAGGAGATGCAAGTCCTAACCACAGTGAAAGAGCACCTCCCGCCCACTAGATGACTACAATAAAAGAGAATGAAGAAGTGTTGGTGAGGATGTGGAGAAAGCAGAGCCCTCAGAAGCTCCAGGGGGAAACCGAATTTGGTCCATCTGCTACCCTAAACACTTCTGGGCATCCACAAAATGTAAACATAAAATCATCATATCAACCGCATTCCCACTCCTAGATATAACCCAAATAATAGAAATAGAAATAATTTATAGATATATATAAATTAGATAGATAGATAGATAGATAGATAGATAGATGATAGATGATAGACAGATAGATACAGATGTTGCTGGGAATACTATTCAAAATATCCAAAGATCAAACAGTAAACCCGTCTGGCAACAGGTGAATGGATTCATATATGGGTGGAGATGCATGTTGCCAATGTCTACACGCCCCTTCATGGTGGACCTTGAGAAAGTCTGTGGCCTGAAAGAAGCCTGTCACAAAAGACCACTTGATGGCTGCTTCCATTCACAGGAAATGTCCAGAACTGGCGAATCCAGAGACAGGAGAGAGGCAAGGCAGAGAGGAGATGGTCAAGGGAAAGTAGATTGGGATGTGACCGGTTCAGGGAATGAGATATCCATTAGATGTGGTGAGAAACTCTGGTACTGTGTTGTTGAGGGCTGTAGCATTGAGTCAGTAGCCTAGAAGCCTCTCCACAGCACACATTACAATGCTAACACTTACATAGGGAGAAGCACAGACGATGAGAGGGCAGAAAAGCAATAACTATGACTTTTCTCCAGTCTTGGGTCACTGAGTCCTAGTCTCACTGGAGGACGTAACTAGCATGAGCTGAGACTCCTACCATCCCAAAGGAATACAAGCACCAGGTCTTGGGGCCATCCAGCCCTCTCAGCTCCTACATAGATACTGCTCTAGCAACTCAGACCCTCATGCTGGGACAGAGCCCAGCTAGCTCGAGCAAGGGCCAATGTGGGCTGATATTCTCACAGAGGAGCAAGGCCCTGGGTGGGGACTCTAGGAGCCCGGGCAGCACTCAGCAGGGAGACCTTGGGAGAGGGTCAGGCTCTGACAGGGGAGTGTCCTCTTCCTGTCTCAAATCTCTTGCCCTGACACCATTCCTTTTATTAAACAAACCAGCCAAAACCTCTATCCAAGAGGTGCAAGGAGGGCCTAGAGCCACTTCCTCATCCTCTCCCCTGGGGAATATGAAGGTGAACATATGGACCCAGATGACCAGCCCACAGAGCACAGGGACATCACTCTAGTGAAGCAGGTATTGCCAAACAGACTGTTGAAACTCATTCCAGGATATGTCAGCCAGAGACCAGGGACTAGTGAAGACCTTTCTCCTGGTGACACAGGGGCTTGAGATTGGCAACTGCCCCTCACATGGAGTAAGCAAAGCAAGGGTGAAGCCCATTCACATTAGAAACCGGAGGCAGGACAAAAGCTGGTGGCAGACAGTCCTAAAACTTCTACTTCCTGGTGTTCCCGAAGCTACACCTGCTCTAAACTTCCTACATGTGAGCACCCCTCAGCTCTCTGCTAGCATATCAGAAGCTGAGCTGGGTTGCTGTCACTTACACACAAAAACATGGTGACTGAGTATGCCCAAACCGGTAAGTGATGGAAAATAATAGCTCTTGGGGTTAAAGGCAACCTGCACGCTGGACCAGGTGGTGAATTCAGACACTGAACGCCAGATTCTGGAATTTCACCCAGGCTTTTTGACTACTGGGTGAATGTGGATACTTCAGCAGGATCTGCAGGATGCTTACCATGGGAAGGACTTGTTAAATTAAGAGCAGCCTGTTGGAGACTCAGTGACTGTGTGTGGGGCACAAAATGTACCCACAAGTTCTACAAAGAGCAGTAGGTCCCCCCACATGGGAAGAAGAGGGATGGATGGGACAGGCAAAAAGGGACCTTCCAAGAAGAGTCCCTAAAGACTCACCTGGCTGGGGTGTGGACTGGGAGACAGCAGCTGTGAGAAAGAGACACGAGTCAGACACAAAGCACACTGCTGTCCAACTGGATCAAAGAAAAAACGTTCATCCCATACCTACTGGTATTATGCCTCCGTGAGCTCCTGAATACACAGAGCCATGGCCTGTCGTCATCTCTCAGTCCTGCCCCACCCTGTATCCCACTCCCCTTGCCTGCCTTGGTGGACCTGAATGCTGACATTCCGGGAGGTGGAATATCACCGGGAGGCCAGGCACAGTCCACCCAAGTCATTGTACTATTTCAGCGTGGGAACAACAAGAATAAGTTTGAGAGTTAGCCTATTAAGATCTCAACTCCACCAGCCCAGGTGCAACGTTCCCAATTTTTACAAGCCTTTTCAGGGTTCCTGTAGGAGGTCAACTCGTTCCCCAGAGTCCGATGTGTTTCTTTGGCATTCCGTGTACTGGGGAGCTGCCATTTACTGCACCTTTCCCACTTCTCAAAGTATCTTTACTGCCCTCCCAAATTCCCAATGTAGAGCCATCCTGTTCTCTTAGATCACTTCATGGAGGACCCAGAATAACAAAATCATGACGGAGTGAAGGGGGCTCATTTTCCACCCACATTCCCCAACGATGTGTACTGAGAAGAAAGGCCCTGGGGAGAGGGTTGTGGACCGAAAAGACGATCCTACTGTGTGGAAGGGACTCATTGTGTCTTCTCACTAAGCGGCAGATGGGCCTTTTCACCCTCTGTGCCACTGAGGCTCCAAAGCATTATAGATCCACAAGGGAGGGGCCCCGTCCCTGTTGTGACCCTATATAGCCCTTCAGGAGCCAGCCTTCCTTAGGAAGCTGGCAAAGCACAGCAGCATATCTGGAAGAGGATCAGGTGGGCACCCTGGCATGGGCAGTGTGTCTGTTCTCAGTAAAGATCACCATGAAAGGGGACTGGGATTTTTGAGGTTCACCTGAGCAGATGACACCTGCATCTTCTGAGTGTCCACAGTTGTGCACCTTCCAGCCATTGTGGCTGCAGCTCCACAGGGAGGACTCATACCCAGAGCAGCGCACGTTGTCCAGCACAATCGGGCCTGAGCCTTGACCAAAGCGGGCATAACCTGGGGCCGAGGTGGCCCAGCCACAGCCCAGCTGCCTGCAGACCACGTTGGCATCACTGGTGTCCCAGTCGTCATCACACACGGTGCCCCACGAGCCTTGGTACAGCACCTCCACGCGGCCTTGACACCGGTCACCTCCACTCACCAGCCTCAGGGCCAAACCTGAATCAGTCTCTGAGGGAATAAGAGCAGAAACCCTCCTCCATGTGTATCTCTAAGGCAATAAGCTTAAAATGTTTTGTAGACCGAGGGGCTTCTTCCTGGTCTCAGTCCCCTGGGCAGGTAATGACCTTTGAATATGCCCAGAGGTTAATCTTCACCACAGGTAAAGGAGCAGAGACCTCTCAATCAACTCACAGTTAAGGATGCTCTGATGTAAAGAAGCATCCCATGAGCTTTATGGAGGTGAGATGCTAGACGAGCCCAGCATGCACGGGGCACACCCAGTATGGAGCTCCAGAGCTACTGACACAGCCGAGACCACCGCCCTATCGGGCAGCTTTTTGATTCTGTGGCATCATGACTTGGTTGTGCAAAGTCCCGACATAATGCACCATGGCAAGCAAGGTGCAGAACTAGCATATTCCCCTCCTCTTTCCTTGGCTATCCACCAAGGCCTGGGAGCCACAAGCAAGATCCCAGCAGCACTTGAGGGGCTTCTACGATGCACATAGAGCACCTAGGGGAGGATCTTTGCTGCACATCAGCTCAGGAATCAATGGGGTCAGGTGTCCAACCTCTAAGATTACACCCACAGCCTTATCTTCAGAGATTTATCCGACTATCCCCCAGCTCTACACACACACACACACACACAGGAACAAGGATAAGGAAGGGCACACCCTGAGACTCCTCCTGTCACGTACAAACGCAGACTTTCTCTGAAAGCTCATCCAGAGAGGGTGGACTGATATATTTACCTGCTTCTGTTGTTGAAGGTATGGTGGTGGGGAACCAGGTGCCTGGATATGGCAAAAAGGTAAAGACCAGAGTTAGACAACATGGAATGTGGTGTTTGTAAACTGGTTTTGGCAGGTTTCCTAAGAGTGGTATATCTGCATCCTGCCACCTTCCACCTGGGGGTGCTCTGCTAGCTTTTACAAAGGCCTTGTGTACATCAGCCAGGTCCTTCCACATCTCTTAGCCTGGAGTGTTCTTTTGTCGCTTAGAAAACCCTTGCCACTTGTCTAATTTGACTCATGGACAACTGAAGGGATTCCCATATGAAGCCTGGAAGAAAGAGTCAGGGTCATCGTGGGTCAACCTGGAGCCAACTAGGTAGCCCTGTACCCAGAACACATCCATCACTTATTCGACCCCCATTTCCTGGGCTCTGTCCCTGTCACTTTGGAGATACATGTGACCTGATGATTCTGAGGCTATTGCAAGCTCTGAGCAAGGGACAGTATCCAGCCTGCTCAGATGACATTTCAGTAGGAGGTCATTGGTCATCAGCATCCATACTCCCACTCAACTTGTCAGCCCAAGCTACATTCCAGCTGAGACTCATCGCACCCATGGCCAGGTTTCTGAGCCTGCAGGCAGCTGTCTCTTAGAACACTGAAAGGCTTAGATGAAAACTCATGAACTGATGGAAAGATGGGACCCCTTGAGTCCCATGTCTAACTGAGAACAGTCTGTTGGAGACTCAGTGACAGGGGGATACAACAGGTGCCCACCGGTTTTATACAAAGAGCAATAGTTCACCCAGACTCATGGGAACAGGGATGGGTGGGACCAAAGATAGGGATATTCTGAGTAGGGTAGCAGAGGACCTATCTGACCCGATTGTGAACTGGGACTGAGTAGATGTGAGAAAGAAATATGAGTCAGACACAAAACACGCAGGTGTCTTAATGGGATCAAAGGTCAAAGAAAATCTTTCTATACCTACTGAGATCATGCTTCCATGTGCCCTAAGGGTAGACAGAGCCAGGGCCCACCATGATTCTCTCTGTTCTCTGGGGGTTCCACTGCTAATGACTGCTTTGCTGGGCCTGAAGGTGACATTCCAGGAGGTCAAATGTCACCTCCTGGCCTGAAACAGGCCACCAAATCCATTGTGTTCACTCCGTTTAGGAATAGCAAGAGTGAATCTGAGTGGTTAATCTAGAAATACCCTAATTCCTCCAGCTCAGGCGCAATGCTCCTAGTCTTTACAAGGGTTTTCAGGGTTCTATAGGGGGTCAACTTGAGCCCCATATTCCTGTGTTTCTTTAGTATTCCATGTACTAGTGAGCTGCCATTCACTGTACCTTCCCCACTTCCCCAGTGCTCATCACTGCCCTCTCCAATTCACAATTTGGACTGCAATCTTGTTTTCTGAGTTGGCTTCATGGAAGACACTGAATAATACAACCATAAAGGAGTGAAGGTAATTGTTTCATTTTCCAGCCACATTCCCAAAAAGTTTGCCTTGAGAAGTAAGGCCTTGGGAAATGGGATGTGGACTGAGCAAATGCCGAGAAGGATGAGGCCCATTTTTTCTGCCCCATGAATAGTGGATGGTCCTTTTCACCCTCTATGCCATCATTGCTGCAACATTATTGACCTTTCTCTATTAGCCAAATAGGGGAGGATAGCAGACCCTACATGTTACTTTTCATTATACTTCAGTAGCCTGCTGCCTCCAGGAAACCTTGGTATCTCAGAGAGGGTTGGATGTGGGCTTGTTGTGAGTAGTATGTTTCTTCCTATCAAAGACAATCTCAGGGAGAGAAAGAGATAAAAATGTTTCATTCCACCTGAGCAGATGACACCAGCATCTTCACCAGGGCCACAGTTGTGCAAGTTCCAGCCATTGTGGGAGCAGTTCCACAGGTAGAACTCATTCCCAGAACAGCGCACATTGTCTAGTACAATTGGCCCTGAACCTTGACCAAACCGGGCATTCCTGGGGGCTGACATGGCCAAGCCACAGCCCAGCTGCCTGCAGACCACATTGGCATCATTGATGTCCCAGTCGTCATCACACACAGTGCCCCAGGAGCCTTGATATAGCATTTCCACACGCCCCTGACATTGGTTACTTCCACCCACCAGCCTCAGGGCTAAACTCAATTCGATCCCTAAATGAAGACATAACATTTGTCTTATATGTTGCCACCAATGACTAAGTCTTAAGATTCTATCATATTCAGAGCACTTCATAATGGGCAAAGATCTCAGAGATTTTTGACTGGGATGGACTCTTAACATGTCATGAGTTAGAATTCTTTGTGGTTAAAAGGACAGTGACTTTTCTCCCCAACCCTAGCCACTAGAACTTCAGGGGAAAGTAAATGTGCCTTAGTTTGCAGCCTGGAGGACTTAAGACTATCCACATATTCTTTGTCTGGGCAAACCAGAGACACAGCTCAACTTCTTGGGGTAGCATACCCATGACTGTCCCATGCTAAAGAGAAGTCTGATGACATCAGGATGTCCTGTGAGGAGTTCTGACATATGTCTCGGGTTGGCTGAGGTTGACTTAGAAAGCATTTTGCACATGCTTCTCCTGGCCCCATTGACAAGTCTTTGGGGCTAAAATGGCTGAAGCCAGTACAGATTTATGAGATGGGACAGCTGGTGCTGTAGTCTAGAGACTGACGCTACTGGTCTCTGACTCAAAGCACCCAGGATCCTGGAGATTCCACATTTCAAATGACTACTCCACCCACTACAGATGGACAATGAAGGAGGCTCCAACTCAAGCTGGGCCCTGGGTCACAAGGGATCTTCCTTTGTGCTATCTGCATACAACACCCTCTCTCACCCCATCCCCTAGAAATCTTTATGAACAAGAGTGAAACCCAAGTATATAGTTGGCATCATTATCTACAGAAAGAGAACCAAATAAAATTATTCATTACCTATTGCACCAGTAGCCACAGTATACTCTGTAGTGCTTTCTTCATAGACAGATTGTAGAAGAGGGGACAGAAAATGTAAAGTTAGTTTCTCTCTGAGGAGAATCAAAGACTGAAAGTAAAGGAGAATCTGCTAAGGAGATGTCATTTCTGACCTGGATTTTATCTTGCTTTGTGACTTTGGAAAAGGGTACAAACCTGTCAAGCCTCAAATTCTTTCATTCTAAAAGGCTGTTTGGTGGTGGTGGTGGGGTATCTCTTTATCAACCTACTGACCTTGATTCTAACCATCCCACATGTGACCTATGCAGGGCTTCAGGGGATAGATGCTAAAATTAATTTTCTAATCTTTATGCTTCCAGTTTATTTCTCTTGTCTGTGTTGGCTAGTATCTCTAGCACAATGTTAAATGACAGGGGTCCTGAAGACCATTCTTGCCTTTTTACTTTAGTGAAAATGCTTCTGATGTTAAGTAAGATTGTGGCTTTAAACCTATGATTTTCAAATTGCTTCAAGGACCTATGGTGTTTGTTCCAGGCCCCAGAAAGAAACTACTGGGTGCAAGGGCTTAAAGAGGAGATGACCTGAGAGCACCTCTTAGCCCACTGCCAACAGAGCATTCATTTTATTTCTGAATCCCCTACTGGGCTTCTACATGAGGTCTTTTCAGATCTAGAGGAAGTATGATTCCCACCTCCACCCCACAGTTGAGGTTCTGACAAAAGTAGCTCTAGGTAAGTCCCATCTGCAGTCCTGGGTCATAATCAGATAGCCAAGCCCCTGAGCCCCTCATTGCACCCCCTGGATAGACTAGTTGTATTGAGAACTTGTCAGGTTCAGCTGTTACTCCTAATACATAGCAGGCCTCTCAGGGGAAACCACTATAGAGAGGAGCAGGTTCTTCTCTTATAGCTGCTGCAAATAAGAATCTTGGGAAGAGATGTGGGTAAATTATAATAAAGCCAGTCTCATCCTCAGCTCTAGTGATACCTGTGTCCTTGATCATAGGGAAGAGAAAAAGTCAGACCTCACCCCGTGGGCTTTAGGCACAGGAGAGCCCACGTCTGAGGAATGGAAATGCCTGATACGTATACCATTAAGATTCCCAACTGATTCATGCTGACTTCTAGTCAGGAATCTTTGTGTGGAGGCTACCCTTCTCCTGTTCTAGGGCCAAGTTTTTCCATGGCCCTATATATTCATGGGATATAGGCCATGACTTTCCTTCCCAAAGCCCAGGCTGCCAGAAACTCAAGCTGTATTGACTACCTCCCAGCTCTCTCATTGGAGGTGCCCCTCCCAACTCTCTCACTGGGGGCGATGGTGTGTGCATGAGACCTCTGATGCCCAGAAGCTCAAGGACCATGGCTCCTCTATATTGAGAATGAACCAAAGTGGCCTCAAATGGGCTCAAGAAAGAGCACAGGAAGGCGAGGATACTGCTCCAGCAGGTTTGCATCTGCCTTTCCAGGCCCTGCAGCCAGAGACCCAATACCGCAGCCTGGCCAGCCATCAGCATACAGTATCATAAGGGTAAGCACTGAGCATGAGCAACAGGACCCCCCCCGGAGACTGAACCTGAGCTCCTCCTTGGAATTCCTTGGAAGTTCCTGTAGGTTGATCTCTCCCCAATCTCAGGGACATGGTCCATGGAAGAGTTACCCATTTAGGCCTGAGGCCTTGTTCATAGGTTCTCACTTGGGAACTGACCACTCCTATCTCTTACATCTTTTACACCTTTTCTGGATCAGAGATGATCACATGGGTGCAGGTAATGAGCCCATAGGGATCCCATATAACAAATATTACCTTCTGCCTCAGTTGTTGCCAGGGGTGCCTCTGTGGTAGAAAAAGAAACTGGAGTGGAGGAAAAAAGAGGTCATTCAATGTTGGCCCTCATTTGAGAAGAGCTGGCCTTCTTCTTCAGCTCTGGAATAAGGACTGGGTGCAGACACCCAGAAACTCTACCCACTGCTAAAATATTGTGTTTCTTATTTATGAGACAGAGATCATCTCTCTGTCATTTTGCCAGTCCTTATTCAAAGCTGGAATGCCATCAGAGATGTTCTTTGCTCTTGCCATCACCTCCCCCCCACCTGCTCCCACCATCTCCATCCAAAAAAAAATTACTTAATTAATCAACGGGCCCACCTGATTAACAAGATCACATTTCCAATACCAACTATCTAATTCTATAGCTCATCAACACCCTCAAATGACAAATATCTGCCATCATCGAGATGTTTCTGAGAAGGTGGCCCCAACTAAGAAAGTAGTAGTTTTCAAAGATGTATCCCCAAATGCTAAAATAAACCCATTCTAAAGTGACTGCATGGAGGACCATACTCTCTGGGGGAGGCCATTCTCATGTGATAGTTGGATTATCAGGGTCACATCCCATATATGGTGACATGTGAACACTCACTGGTCCACATAGCAAGTGTCAGAGATCACTCTAAAGATAGACAATTTATCTAGGAAGCCTCCTTCAGGGTACAATGATTGTTATCCACAGAGTTTCTTTGTGGATTAAAGACCTCTTGGTGGTTGAACACCTACCAACACTCTGTGAACAAAGGAGAAACCCAGTATTGGGTTTTGCTAGGTTGAGTCAGGGAGAATTTCTCTCTTCCACTGCAAGTATAAATGCCTTTATCTGGTCATTTAATCTCCAATAAAGAAAACATACTGGCTACTCCTCTGTTGATTTTGGTATACATTTAAGCTTTAAAGACCAGAAGTTTTGGATCCTTCTGTCCTGTCTGCAAAAGGAGGGGAAAATGCCATATAGGAAGGTGTTTTGTCATCCCCAGGGCAGAGACCCTCAAATACCAGAAACCACTGGGTGATTGCATTGGCAAACTCTGGAGGAGCCTGAGATTGAAACCCACCTCCACCACTTCCAAGATTTAGGACTCCAGGCAAGTTACCTGCCCTCTTTGAGCCTCCATTTATCTATGAAAAGTGACCACTCTCTAACAGCAAATAAGACATGACATAGAGCAAAGCAGGTAAACTGCAAAGCACTGGGTGCACGCGCTGTGATGTAGAGGTCAGCAAGGAGCCGCTCTCGTCTGAGTGGCACAGGCCCCCGGGGTGAGGTCAGCTCTACCTGAGCACACGACTCCAGCATCTTCCCCGTGTCCACATTCATGGTTGTACCAGCCACCGTGGGAGCAGCTCGACAGGTAGGGCTCCCTTCCTGAGCAGTATACGAAGCCCAAGAGAATGTTCCCCGAGCCCTGACCAAAGTGGGCCCCGCCTGGCGCCGACACCGCAAGACCACAACCGAGCTGCCGACAGACAACATCTGCATCCTGGATGTCCCAGTCGTCGTCACACACGGTGCCCCAGTAGCCTTGGTACAGGACCTCCACGCGGCCCTGACACCGGTCACTTCCATTCACCAACCTCAGGGGCAAACCTGCATTGACACAGTGGAAAGCTCCTGTCCACTCTCTCTGCCCCCTGGCTTTCACTCACCAGCACCCCTTGTCCTCCTCCTTGCTTGAACCACTGCCTCCACCTGTTTTTCTGCTCTCCCACACCTTACACGTCACTGTTCTGCCAAGCACTGTCTTAGCCTTCTTATCATGCTATCTTCTCCCTGGAAGAGCTCCTGTACTCAGAGCATTCCAGGAGGAGGACCCCCAAATCTACCTCTCTGGTGCTGATCAGCCCTTATAACCCCAGCCAAGCTCTAAACCAACATTTCCAGTGGCCTCCAGGACATCTCACCCCACCATCCCAAACCCAACCCAGTCTCTTTCTTCCACTTGAATCACTGGTCTCTCCATGCTCCACAAGAACTGTGTTGGAAATCTGGTTGTTATATTTGATTCCTCCCCTTCTGTACCTCGTATATCCAACTTCTCAACAAGGTTGTCTTCCTTTTATTCTCACTGCCATTTTGCTAGGGTAAATCTTCCTTCTCTTGAACCTGGCCTACTCCACTGGCCTGCCTGTGGATTTCCCTGCCCCTGCCCCTCCCTCTCTAATCCATCCACATTGATGGATTCAACAAGCATTGATGGAGTGCTTCCTCTGTACCCACCCTTGTGATGACAGGATTCTGTCTCCCCCAGAATGTCCCAAGTTTTATCTTATAAAATGGGGATATGTTCAACTCACCTTCCTGCTCAGAATGCCTCAATGTACTCTCCACAGCCATCAGGGTCAAATCTCAGATGAGTGGGTCTCACCTCACCTTTTGGGCCTCTTGTGAGAGCTGACACATGGTGGCCTGAGTGCCACCGTGAAGGGCACCGTGTTCCTGCCTGATGTGATTCTCCTAAACCACTCTCACTGATGATGCAAGGAAAATAGGGAGCAGGTCCCAAGAGATCTAGGCCAAAATCATGACAGCAGGAGCTGGATCCTGAGTATGGCTTTTCAGTGATAGTTTGAGGTTATGAGAAATTTGTGGTCAAGGAGTGACCAGAGTTTGGAATGGGATGTAAGATAGATAAGGGGGCATGTGGTTTCTGTGGTTGTTGTAAGGGAAGGGCTCAGAGAAAGAGCAAGGAAAGGCCAATTGGGCTATTTCTAGGGTGTTCCCAAGTGCATTGCAGTACTTCTCAGTCCTTCCTGCACCCCTTTGGTTATTCCTATGAATGTCCCTGCAGAAGAGCTCCTCAGGGGGATCCCTGGGTGCCTTAGCGGTTTGGCGCCTGCCTTTGGCCCGGGCGCAATCCTGGAGTCCCGGGATCGAGTCCCGCGTCGGGCTCCTGGCATGGAGCCTGCTTCTCCCTCCTCCTGTGTCTCTGCCTCTCTTTCTCTCTCTCTCTCTCTGTCTGTCTGTCTATCATGAATAAATAAATAAATAAATAAATAAATAAATAAATAAATAAATAAATCTTTAAAAAAAAAAAAAAGAGCTCCTCAGTCTCCCTGCCTTAGCCTGTCATTTGCTGGGTATCAGTCACCAGAAAGCTCTGCTAAAGCAGCTCCCAGGCCATTCCTGGACTCTCAGGGCATGCTCTGAAAGGGCAGCAATTGGCCTCAACAGAGCCAAGAACACCATGGCAGGGTCTGCTATCCCAAATGAGCACATTGAAGACTCTGATGTGTCAAATTCAGTGCAAAGTCTGCACATTCACTCGAGGTTGAGGAGCAATGGATAGATTTAGTAAGAATAGTGGACAGAGGCAAAGGTGCCTATCTGGGCTCAAATTTCTGCCCAGACACATAGCCACCATGTGATCTTAGACATCTAACTATTGACAAGTGACCGAACTATGCCACAGTTTCCACATCTGCAACTTGGGTGTAATACTACTCACCTCAAAGTATTGGAAAGATTTCATGATAATAGCGCTTATTATGTGCATTAGTTGAGCACTTAATATACACCAAGCAGTATTTTAAATGACTTTTTTATACATTAACTCATTTGGTATATGAAAATAATTTTGTGCAGGGTACATAGCAAGTACTTGTGGGATGTTAGCTATCTTCAAGATAACTATCACTAGTGGTAAGAAGAGGCCCTGGCTTTTTTTCACTTGTCTCTCCTGACACCAAACTGAAGCTAATCTCATGCAATAAATGACTGAGAGGCAGAGAGAAGAAGGAAGGAGAATGACAGATGAGGCTAAGTAAGTAGTGCATCTGGGACATGCCTAGGGTCTCAGTATATCCCCCTACCCCTTGCCTCCCATCCCTGCATTCCAAAGGGCAGGCACTTGCTCTGTAACCAAAACTATACTCAGCCTCAACAAGCCAACAGTGACAGCAGAACTGGCTGGCCCAGCCAGTGAGAAAAACTCTGGGAAGACAACTAAAAAGAAAAGGTCTTACCATAGTCTGTAGTCGAGGTGTCGAGACCTAGAAAACAAATTCATCTTGAAACAGGTTCCATGGTTTATAAATATCTACAGAGAAATTGGCTTGAGCATCACCTTATGATCATGCCAGAGGGCGCTGTGGTCCGCTCTTGGTTCTGTGTACCTCCAGCGTTCTTGCCAAGTGTTTGGGATTTTGCAATCATAGATTACAAGTGGGTTGGATGTGGGGTGTTTAATGATTTTTAGATAATAAAGTGCATGTCTCTTTACCCTGCCCCCTAAATGCTACAGTTTATAGTTACAAGATGTAATCTGTGCTCAGAAAGAAAAACTAAGTTTAGACTGGTTGTCAAGGATTCTGGGTGCCAGTTGAATCCTCCCTCCAGTCTGAAACTTGAGTAGAGTTAGCCTTTGCAATAGCCACTCAGAGGTCCCCTAAATAAGTACGTATTTTGTTATCAGTTATCCTCTTCCTTCTGATCCATACTTTAAGAAATTTTTACTCTATCTTGAACAAAACCAACATCTAGAGAACCCTGGATCTTTGTCATTAGTGAAGCCACTATGAAGCTCTCCATGCACCTCCACTTCAGGTTAACCCTCAGGACACCTTCATGATCCATCAGATTCCATTTTAGCTCTTGAGTTTCTTTTTTCATCAGGCCTCACTCTATTTGTAAGGATTGATATTTCTAGACTTTACATGTTTTTGGAGGTCTTCCAAAGAAAGAAAAGAATATTTCCTCGTGAAAAGAAAATAGAATAAAAGCATTCTACTTTATAGTCACTATATGGATTTATTGGATCCTTTTATAAACCCAAGATACATTACTCTTGATGATCTCATTTTTCCTATAGCTTGAAACATTTTCCTATTTCATCCTTCAAGGAATTGGTTCATCATTGCTCATTAATTATTAACTACCATAAAAAAGAGTTACATAATAAGATAATGAGAGAATGGTGTCATTATCTAGAAGAAATATGAACTGGTAAGATAGGTCATCATCATTCTTCAGTGCCCCAAATATCACATTACCTTTCAAGAAGGTATTTTTTTAAAAAGACTGGAAGCACAGTCTTTGTAAGATGCTTTTAGCTCTCACTGAATGCAGTTAAAAATTCAGAATTTTTCATTGTCTATTACCAATGGCAAAGAGAAGAAAATTGACATTGGAGATGTTTCACAATAACTAGATGAATCAGAATAGGAATGTAAACAGAAAGAAGCTCCCTAGATGATAACAATAATGGTGAAATTGCTTGTACAAATGAAATCTCAGACTCTGAGACTTCAAATGATGATATCCTAGGTGAATCTCCTCAAATTCAAGAATCAAGGAGTCAGAAATAAAATTCTAAGTACAAAAATAAAAAATAGTGTTCTTGGGGTGCCTGGGTACCTTAGTCAGTTAAGCACCTGTCTTGATTTTGGCTTAGGTCATGATCTCAGGGTCATGAAATTGAGCTCCACATCAGGCTCCATGCTGGGCCTGGAACCTGCTTAAGATTCTCTCTCTCTCTCTTTCCTTCTGCCCCTCCTCACTCTCTCCCTCTTTCTCTCCCTTCTCTCTAAAAAAAATTACTAAATAAAATATAGTGCTCTCACTCATGTCAATGGATAGGATTTCATCTGTGATATTTTGCAGCAAGAACTCGGACTATCTCATTTTGCTAAATGGACATGTGATGGTACACTTTTATTTTTTCTAATAATTATGTTCCAAAATCTACTGGATGAAAGGAGATCTGCTACATTTAAATTCTTATGAAAAATTCTAATAAGGTTGCTTTCATGATCCCTTTTTTCAAGATAACTATAGATTTCAAGGCAAGTGGTTTCTGTGGTTGTTTTAAGGGAAGGAGTCAGAGAAAGAGTGAGGAAAGGCCAATTGGGCTGTTTCTAGGGTATTCCCAACATGCATTGTAGTACTTCTCAGTCCTTCTTCTCAGTACTTCTCAGGGTACTACCTTGACTAGATAAGGTATTGGCGTGGCTAAACATAGAGGAGGGGAGATCTGATGGCTGGAGTAAGGTAGCTATAGTCAATTTGAGTCTGTATCTGTTCCCTCACATTTCTGACAGTAGGTCAGTGAAGAAGAGAAAAACACTCTTCTTTCTTGCTCTCTCCAGCTAATTCCTGTACCAACTCCAGTCCTAAATTCACCTATGACTCTTTGGGGCTGCTCTCTTTCTCATATCTTGATTATCTCTCTCTTGTCATATACCTCTTGCTCTAGTACTTACCACAGCTGTAATTATAACTGTATAATTAATTGATAACTGTCTATCTTGCCCTTAGACCATAAGTTCCTGAAAGCAGGTAACACGTTCCCCTCAAACAATACAGAGAGAATCCATACTGTAGTCTCTCCTGCATAGAAGGGTCTTGGTAGGGCTGATTCTTGTCAAATGAGGTAGAAAGGACATTGAGGCCCTTTTGCAAGGTGTGCAAAAGTTCAATGTTAGCAATGCACTCATGGAAAAACATGTATATCAACAAGTCAGACTTACGATGTAGCCATGAACCATTTGGGAAAATGTTATAAACCTAAATTCACTTGACATTAAGCAAAATATAGACATCCAAGAAAAAAATAAGTGAAAATAGATAGCATTTAATATATATATATATATATATATATATATATATACACATATCCCTGTCACTTTCTTTTGAAATTCTTAGCAAAGTCATGCTTCTGTAATCACATTGCAAATACCAAAATCTAATTCAGTACTGGGCCGTGCAATGTGGTTGCTCAAAGTGTGGTCTTACAGACCATCCCCATTTTCAGTTACATAAAAATTCAGATTTCTGAGCCTCAACCTAGACCCTTCAAATCAGGGTCTCTGAAGGAGGGAAAAGTAAGTCCCAAGGACCTGCATTCAAAAAAATACCCTTGCTGATTCTGATGTATAGGGACAGGTGAGGCAAAGGCAAAATACAATTGAAGAAGAACAAAAAAAAAAATAATAAAATAAAATAAAATAAAATAAAAATAAAAAAAAACAATTGAAGAAGAACAAAACAATATAACTTCAAAGTCCATTTATTCTATAATTGAAAGAAGTTTCTACTACCTTTGTATTTCTATAAAGGACACAAGTCATCTTTTGTGCAGACCTCATACCATTCATTAAAGGCAGCGTTTGTACTTAAGTGCTTAAGATATAAATAACTGCACTGGATAATCAATAAATCTTTTTTTTTATAATCAATAAATCTTAAATCTAATTCAGGATATTGTTTTTAAAGTACTCACCAGTTGTGAAATCAGGTTGGGAAACTATAAAGGAATGAAAGAAAAGTCAGACAGGTGTATGTTTCATCCACAGAGATCCTGACCAAGAAATCTACTTTTGAACCTTGCTTTCCTTCTGGTTGGCTTTGAAGTAGAGATATAGCAACTGTATGTGCATCAACATCAACAGATATGCAATCTATCT